ACAGAATTTTTGAAGGAATTATGTTTCTGTCCAGTTAAGTAAAGTTGGGGCTGGCTGGGGAATTTTGGGAGTTGAAGTCCACACATTTTAAAGCAGCCAAGGTTGAGAAACACTGTGTATGGCATATAGGTCTTCATAAGCAATTTATGACAATGGGGAAAAATCAAAATAGAGGAGACCTTTCACTCTCTCAACATCACAGTAATTCCATGCAAATCAGCATCAAATTGGGTCAACCCATGCCATTAACTTCTTAAAAGAGAAAGAGAGGAATTTCAGGGCAAAATTCCAGAGGTCAAAAAACTCTTCCAAAACCAAACAGAATTTTGAAGGAATTCACTTAAGGTGGAGGAATTCACAACTGATTCAATTCTGACACGCTATGGAGGAAGACAAGAAACTACACAAGTCAGTGAAACCGTACATTTTGATCTCAAGAAATCTTATTCAGCAAATTACCTGCTTTTGCTTTCAAGGTTTTTTTTTTTTCAACCACAAGAGGTAGAAACATGCTTTATAATATATTTAAAGGCAAGATTGTATATGTAAGTAAAATACTATGACTAAACTATTTTTTTATGTTTTTGCAATCGATTGTTCTTTTCATAGCAAATTACAGCCTTGTGAAAAGGTTTTCTATGGTTTTACCTATTAGGACATAGTAAAAATTATCTGATCCTTAGCAGTTCTTAAAAGTAGGTAAATACAACCTCAGATGAACAATAACACATGACATGTTACACTACATCATTTCTTTTACAAAAAGAAAGCCAAAATGGAGAAGCAATGTATGAAAAAATAAGTATTGTTTCCATAGGTATGAAGAGGCTAAGTAGCAGCCAGGTGCTGCTAATCAAGTGCCCTTAATCATCAGCAAGTTTCCCTACTTTTATAAAAGCCCACATTTTTAGGTGTTTATTGGCTTCCAGCACTGAGGTGCATGTTAACACAACGGCAAGGAGCAAAGACATCAGCAATGGTCTTAGAGCAGGGGTGTCAAACTCGCAATGCCACGTGATGTGTTGCATCGTGACTTTTTTTCCATTGCCGACAATGGGGTGGGTGCGGTTTCAGCATGATGCATCCGGCAGTTTGACACCTGTCTTAGTGAAACAATTGTTGCTGCTCATCAATCTGGGAAGGGTTATAAGGCCATTTTCAAACAATTTAAAGCCACTCTACAATGCCTTGGTAAGGCCACACTTGGAATACTGCATCCAGTTTTGGTCACCACGATGTAAAAAAGATGTTGAGACTCTAGAAAGAGTACAGAGAAGAGCAACAAAGATGATTAGGGGACTGGAGGCTAAAACATATAAGGAACGGTTGCTAGAATTGGGTATGTCTAGTTTAACGAAGAGACGGACAAGGGGGGACATGATAGCAGTATTCCAATATCTCAGGGGCTGCCATAAAGAAAAGGGAATCAAGCTATTTTCCAAAGCACCTGAAGGCAGGACAAGAAGCAACGGGTGGAAATTAATCAAGGAGAGAAGCAACCTAGAACTAAGGAGAAACTTCCTGACAGTGAGAACAATTAATCAGTGGAACAGCCTGCCTCCAGAAGCAGTAAATGCTCCAACACTGGAAGTTTTTAAGAAGAGACTGGACAGCCATTTGTCTGAAATGGTGTAGGGTTTCCTGCCTGAGCAGGGGGCTGGACTAGATGACCTCCAAGGTCCCTTCCAACTTTACAATAATAATAATAATAATAATCATTCTACAGTGAGGAAGATTATTCACAAGTTGAAAACATTCAAGATAGTTTCCAATCTTTCCAGCAAATTCACTCCAAGGTCAGATCGGGCAATCAGAGAAATTACAAAAGAAATTCAAGAGTTACATCTAAAGACTACAGATCTCTGTTAGCTTGTTAAATGTTAACGTTCATGACAGTACAGTTAGAAAAAGACTGAATAAATGTAGTTTGTTTGGAAGGGTTGCCAGGAGAAAGCCTCTTCTCTCTAAGAAGAACATGGCAGCATGGCTTTGGTTTGCAAAGTTGCATCTGAACAAATCACAAGACTTCTGGAATACTTGTCCTTTGGACAGACAAGACCAAAGTGGAGATGTCTGGCCATAATTCACAGTGCCATGTTTGGCGAAAACCAAACACAGCTTATCAGTACAAACATCTTGTCCCAACCGTCAAGCACAGTGGTAGAGGGGGTGATGATTTGGACTTGTTTTGCAGCCACAGGACTTGGAAACCTTGAGTCAACTATGAACTTCTCCATATATCAAAGTATTCTAGAATCAGATATGAGGCCATCTGCCCAACAGCTAAAGCCTGGCTGATATTGGGTCATGCAACAGGACAATAATCCCAAGCACACCAGCAAATCTGTGACAGAATGACTGAAAAAAAAGAAAAGAATCAAGGTGTTGCAATGGCCTAGCCAAAGTTCAGACCTCAACCTGATTGAAATGCTGTGGCAGGACCTCAAGAGAGCTGTGCATAAACAAATGCCCACAAACCTCAATGAACTGAAACAATGTTGTCAAGAAGAGTGGGCCAAAATTCCTCTACGTGAGACTGATATTGCTGCTAAAGGTGGTTCTACAAACTATTGAATCATGCACACATGGCTCCTCTATTTTGGCTTTCTTTTTGTAAAATAAATGATGACATGGTGTAATATGTCATGTAAAGTTGTTCATCTGAGGTTGTATTTTCCTATTTTAAGAACTGCTAAGGACCAGATGATTTTTACTATGTCCTGATATGTAAAATCATAAAACTCAAAGAGTGTACTTTCTTTTTCACATCACTGTAGGTGTCCAGTATATCTTTTTTGTTTCAGAATAACATGATTGGAAGATAAACACTTTAGTAAACATTAAATTTACTATTTTTAGTACCTTCAAATTGTTCACTGTTGTTCCAGTACTGTGCTTTTATAGAAGCAATAAATACTGGTTTAATGATATTTTTTACGGATGTGATTCATCTATAATATTATCTGTATACAGATGTTTAGTGGTTGCATGGGGTGTTTAAATGGAATTACTAGGAGCACCATGAAATATTTTGCATGGTTCATCCAAGTTCTTCCTAATAAACAATGACAACAGAACAAGTAATGATGTGCTAAATGAAGCAAGAAGGATATATCATTTGAAGTACCTTGAATAAACTTGCAAATGAGCAAGTCTTAGCTCCAGATTTTCCTTGACCAATTCCCTAATCTCAAGAAAGGCACGTATTTGTTCACTGAGATTTTGTTTATTGACAAAACTTGTTCACCACATCTTTCATAAGAGATTTAGAGTCCTTGTGTATTGCGCATTCACATGCTCAACAAATGAAATTGCTGTTCAATGTTATGATTCTTCTTAGAAAAATACTCCCCATTAGCCATTCTGTGAGATTGTTTTTGTCTCATCAGTTTCCAAATTCAGGCTGAAAAGAAATCAGAAAAGAAAAAAGAAATAAGAAATCTAAGGTTATTTGGCAGTTTGCTCACAAGCTGAGAATGTAAGTAGAGAATACAATGAAAATATCTTTATCTACATATATTTAACACTGTCCTGCAGAAAAATTGTGATCCAAATGAGTTCATTTATGGAAAAAACTAACCAGCTGAAAACTATGTAGTTATTAAACAATGGTATCTGCAGTCGATTGTCTTTATTTGAGGATTATGTATTTGCAAATTCGCCTACCTGCTAAATATATTTGTTACTATAAAATCAATAGAGTACTTGAGGCAATTTCATTTGTAAATATGCAGAGTGATCAAAAAAATGAGTCATCCAATGCACAAGTTCCCAACTGAGATTTCAGTATTCTCTAATTAAGTATTCGCTAATTGCAGTGACTTTTTAAAACACAACTACAGGCAGTCCTCATTCAGTGATCATTTGAAATGACCACAGAGCTGAATGAGAGGACTTATGATAATTCCTCTCATTGCAGCCATTGCAAGCAGCCACGTTTGTGACTGGGCACTTGGCAACTGGCTCACTATTACAATGGTTATAATGTTCCATGCTCACATGTTTACTATTTATGACCCCCATTTTTGGCTTCCAATAAGAAAAGTCAATGGGGAAGCTGGCAGGAGGTCACATATGGCAATCACATGATCAGAGGATGTTGTGACTGTATGAAATTCTCCTATCAATAGCAACAGATACTGCTGTCCATGACTTTACAAACACGTCTATTTAGCAATGGAATTGCCGGTCCCAATTATCCTTATTAAGCAACAGCTACTTGTACCGTGAATAATGAGCAAACTCTGTATTTTGAAAAGTCTCAAATATGGAAAAAATAAACAGTCCTACCCACAAATTTACACTCTGTATAAATCAAAACAGAAAAGAAGACAAGATTAAAGTTAAAGATTTGGGAGAAATTTTAAGATGTACAAAGAGGTAGTAATATGGATGTCACAAAGCAGTGATTAACTATCTAATGCAACCAAGAAGTTATATATTGGAAATCTGAAAAGTAGGAGATAAGAAAAGAAAATTGGAGTTAGATAAGGAGCCTAATGGTGAAGAGAGTTTCTGAAGACAATTAAAAAGATGTGTAATGAGAAACATAATGTGGGCAAAAAACAGAAAAGCAAGAAATGAACAAATAACAATGACAATATTCAATCCTTGCAGTAGAGGGCAATAAAACCACAGCAATTTTGCAAGGATGAGCACTTCAGGGATTTTTGGCTGCTTAAAAGTGTAGAATTACTGAAAACATTCCAAAATCTCAGGGAGAAGGAGCAATGAAAGCATTCCCAAGGAGAAAAATGTAACATTTATTCTAAATTATAGAACAATAATCTAGGATAGCATCCATTTTCCCCTCCCATTTTAAAAAGGAAAACAAGAAGGAAAAGAAAATGGGACTGTATAGAGAGGATAAAAAAAGGGGAGGAATAACAAGAATGTTTAAAAATGAGAGAACAGAAAGCAAGGATCTCAAAATATTTGTACAATACCTTTGTTGACTCATTGATTCTCTGCCCAATTTATACATGTAATATTACTGTAAGGATAAAAATGAAGTAAGCTCCATGTAAACCCTTTTGAGATCTTGGAGGAAGGCAATATTTACATGCTATGAATGAATGAATGAATGCTTTATTTGGCAATCAAAAGGTAAAGACTAAGCTACTAGTATATAATCATATTTCTGCTTCAAGAAAGGAAAATAAAAAACTAACTCTCAACGGAAACATATTAGCATCAAAGAACCAAATTTGAAACAGTCTGCCTTCTGCAGACTCCCTTTAAGTCCCAACTTGTCGAAGTCTAACAAATACTTTTAAACAAAAGGAAACACCTAAACCAGAAGTGGGGGAACTATGGCCCCTTTATGACTTGTGGACGTCAACTCCCAGAATTCCTAAGCCAATGTTTCTTAAAGTCGGGTTCAAGGACCTCTAAGGGTCCATGAAATCAAAATTATTTGCCAGCCTATGTTACAATATAATACAATATTAAAAATCCATCAAACAATTATGAGAAGTAGTGGTAGCAGGATTGATTTCAATTTTTAATATTGTAAAAATTCAGAAATATAATCCATACAAACAAAAGCTCTTTTATGGTCCTCCATAATCTTTAAAAATGGGACGGGGTCCTGAAAGAAAAAACCTTAAGGAGGTTTGAGAAAGAAAGTGACCTAAACAAATTGAAAAAAGGTCTGTCTCAGTGTCCATGCTGTTATTAAAAAGGCAACAGAGCCCCTCCTTGAGGGAGATGGGCTGTTCAAAAATATGAAATATAAATATACTTATTGTTTTAATGATGAAAGTTGGCTATAATTGGCAGTTTCAAAATGAGATATTGTATAATGAATATTAAATAATAAAATTTCTGATCATTATCAAAAATGCTCATCCCAATTGGGCTAGTAGTCTAAAAGAAAAAAGGAATCAGCTGAATCAACTAACCTATAACAATGTGTCTCTTTTTTAAATAATAACTGCAATTAAGGAAACACAAAACAAAAACTTTAAAATGCTAGTAGAAGTCATATTTTTCAATATTTTATATGGAACATCAACTCTCCTAACTTCTAATATTATACTGATATTAATTTATATTCAGGTAGGTAATCTAAGAGAAACCAATAGTTCCTCAGATCTTTCTTTTATATTTTCTGTATTCTTTGCAGTGCCCAAAATAGACCAGTTACAACTATTCCTGTGCAAACTCTCAAGACGGAAAAAGTTTTGACTCTGTATGTACTAAATAAACGAGAAGGATCAATATGTAAGACCTTCGCTCTTTCTGATTATTTTGTATTGCAGAATGTTCACAAAAGTGTCACTTCTGATTAAGTTTTTAGAAAAATGAAACAAAAGTATTTCTTTCTGACAAGCAATTGTGATTGTACAGGTCATATATGTATTAAGAAAAAAATAACTTTAGACTCAATATTTAAGAGTGGGAAGACAACAATCCTGGGAAATTTCCAAAAACCCTATATTGTAACCCTGAGAGCAAATCTAAGGCAAGGATAGCAATCTGGAAGACTTTCCTCTTCCAGCCCCATTCTGTAATTCCCATGCTGCTGAATTTCTGCAGAACAATGCAAAATTTGAAAGGATAATTTAATCGACACCAAATGTAGAAACCAGAGCCATTAAATTCTGTTTATGAAGTAATGTACTTATCTTCCCTCAAAGTAACATTCCAAAAACTAGGGAAGCAGGCTCAAAATTTTACCTTCCTCCTCAGTCCTTTGGGCTGTCCCTTTTATGTCTTTGCACTGTTGTCTCAAAGCAGTAAACAATAGAAATCCAAATTATTTGCCCTAGTCCCAAATATCTAACATTCACAGCATAACAGAATAACAGAGTGGAAAGGGATCTTGGTGGTCTTCTAACCCAACCTGTAGCTACTCACTTGCGAAAGTTGTTGTGGTTTCTTTGATACCCGATGTACCATCATCCTAACTCTTTTGTGGAGCTCTTCACTATTGTCTTCCTCAGCATCGCATTTCCGTTTTGGAGAAGTCTGACTACAGTGGGACTGCCTTAGTGCTGTAAAAAGGCAAGTATAACAGCTGCCATTAGGCCACTTCTCATCTTCTAGAATCTCAAAAATTGTCATTTAAGCTTTCAAGTGTTTACCATGCTAGGCAGAAGATACAGTACATATACTAACTATATGGGAAAATGCAAGAGAAAGAGCCTTAGTTGTAGATTTCTGTTTACCATTGTGCTTCAGAGTTTCTTGCTGAAGGTGGTACCATGTTTTTTTTTCTTTCCCTTCTATTAGAATACACAAACCATTCCAAGAGATTTGGTGAAGCTATATTAAAAGTGAAAGTGTTGTCTAATGACACTGAAAAGTTGTATAATTTGTGGAAAACACTTGCTCACTTGTATTGCTGCAGCTTCCATGGGCTGAAGAAAGGTCTGTGGTTATATTACTGAAGTCTTCTATACAGGATGGGACAGAGGCCAATAAACCTGAAAAAATGGCATCTGTATTAGAGAGCAGGCCTACTTTTTCATTATAGCTTAAATATATATTCACATATACATTAATAAAAGAAAATTTATAGCGCAGGGTTGAACTGTGGGATCCTTGGTGCTCTCTGAGGCTGGTTGTTTTCTTGCAGATGTTTCATTATCAAACTAAGTAACATCCTCAGAGTTGATGGGATTGATCTTGGTGGTTACTTAATTAGGCTGTTGTTTACTGTTAGCATGTTTATCTGAGTTGGTAGTTCCTTGATTAGGGTATTGTTATTTCTTGATTGTTGATTTAGTGTTAATCTTGGTGTTCATCTCTGTTCATCTGGGTGTTGACATCAAATAAGAGCAAACCCACTCCCTTTTAGCACTGATGCTGTTACCTAGTTTGGCAATGAAATGTTTGTAAGAAAACAGCCAAGCTCAGAGCATTAAAGATTCCACAAACACACACTAACTTATACACCTGGATCATAATAACTAAAGTCTCAGGTATTGCTTTGTCTCATAAAACTGGAATTAATTAAGCAATTCTTACTAGGATTAGACAGAGTTGGCAGAAACTATATTAGGCCAGATTCTCTCAAGTGAATGGGGCTTTGGATCCAAACTACCTCAGACCCAATCTCAAAGTAATCTATTTTCAGGCCTAGCGATTTACAGTAACAGAACTTTCAATACTATAAAAGCAGTCACCGGAATGGAAGCGTTTTCTGTTAGAGCCTCTCTACTTGGATGAAAAGTCTTTTCTTGCTTCTGCATCACCCATTCAATTTGGGTAATGGAAACATATTATGAATGCATTGCTTAATATCTATTAAACTTTAAGAATGTCTTATAAACTGAGGACTGCACTAATTTCCACATTTAATACAATGGTGGTAGATCTAAACAAATCTAAGAATGATTAGCATTATTTTAATTCAACCAGTATATTAACCTAGTTAACTAGGAAGCTAAAGATTCATATCAGGAAATCAAGATTTAGCAAGGGTGAAAGTGCTTTCAAATCATGCAACCTAAAGTCCATGTTTTAAGAGCATCTAGTCATAGTCATTGGGAAATTTTATTCAGAAATTAAGAATGACTGCAGAAATATGGCAAGCAGGTAGAATCCAGCAAAGGCATCCCCAGGATCCACCATTTTTGTCAAAAAGTTGAATGCAAGATTATTCCTGCTTCCACAATGCACATACAAATACATCAAGAGAATAATTGTTTATTTGATTTGATTGAACAAATTGGTTTTTAAGCTTTAGAATCATAAGACTTTCTTTGCTATGAATATCAAGAAAAAAATCAGCATTTATTGTCTGTCTGTCTGTCTGTCCCTGAGAATTGATGAGACTTGAGTGACATACAAATTTAAAAAATTATTACTATTAATTATTAAATATACATACAAAGTCCTCTGTAGCGTGAGAGCTGTTGATAAATCTGCTTCATGCGTTCAATGTTTAGTCGACTGGTCTCTGCATGGTTTACCATGGGTTTGGGATAGTCTACCCCAATTATACATTTTGCTGCCTTTTGAACTGACTCAGAGGCATTCCAGGGCTCGTAGATATAGCGTGATGGAAAACCTTTCAATTGAGGTAGATACCGCCTATAGAATAAATCAACAAGGACTACCATTAATTATTTTAAATAATTTATATATGTAGCCAGCCAGCCCAATTATGTAAAATGTATGTATTCTTGTATTCTTATTTTTTTTTTTTTACTTTACTTATGCAAGGCAGCCTCTGTCTGTAAACTGACAATCAAAAACTGTGCCACAAAAGGGAAAAAAGGGGTGGATAACAGGAAAAGGAAGAGTCAAATTTCATTTTGGCTTTAATGTGACCGAAGCTTTGATGTTATCAACCCATATGCTGACCTAATGTAGTTACCGCTGGGATCTGTACGACGCCCAAAGCCAACAGGACAGTAGCAGTGGAAAAACTGCTGGAAGAAAGCACTGCAGGAAAGCCACATCCAGCTACCTGCATTCACACTGAAATCTGCATCCAGAAGCAGCTCATCAAATACCTGTGGAAAGGGAAAGAGAGAAAATGTGAGGGGAGACTTTCACGGTAAGCTTGAGTGGTCAGAATCAAAGACTCTGTTTAGTGGTTGGTACAATTTTGATGTGTAGGAAAGAAACAGAACTTTAGACTGTGTTTGTTGTTGATCTTATATCAACTGTTTTGGAAGCCTTGTCAGCTGTACAAAGTTCTGATGTTATTTATTATTATTTATAACAAATAACATATTTATAACAAATTTAGATTCAAGACAGTCTAAAAAACAGCCTGATCTTGGGGCAGTTGTTACCTTGCAAACACACACTGATATGGTATTTTGAATTGGGCAGAGGAGAGGTGAAATGACAGAATAGAATGAGCTGAGCCCCAGGGAAAAAAACCCCAAAATTGAGGTGCCACCATCATTGAGGCCCTGGTTCTATCCATCATTCTGCAACCTAGGCCTGCTTCTCCTATTGATCTTAGTGCAGGGGTGGAAAGCAGGCCTTTAAATACTTGTATTCTGAAATTCTTAGTAAGACTGTGCTATCCTTTGAATTTGAATGCACAAACGTGCTTCAGAAGCACTCAGATACTGCAGCATCTGTTTGCAATTCCTTAAAATAGTTGTCCCTTCCCTAGGATTGTACTGCTTCCAATTGCGGTACAATGTGGGAAAAGGTTTAAAGAGTTTAAATATATAAGGAGTTGTGGATAGATACTACATTAGTGTCCCACACATTTCAAAGGATATTTTTGTTACTGAATCTGAAGCCCTGCACAGCTTTACTACTTACACCTGTACTGACTAATGTCAACACAACTGGCCAGTGCAGCACATACCCTGTTCCATACTTTCTCAATTAACTACGCCAGTAGTTAATTGATCAGTTGATTTCTGCAGCTTGTGAACTATTTTCAACCATTGCAATAATTCAGTCATGGAATTAACAGAGACTGATTCCTGAAAATAAGCTACTGTATTAGGCTCCAGTTAGGCAGAGTTGGCACAGCAGTGGAAAATGGATTATATATATATGTGTGTGTGTGTGTGTGTGTGTGTGTGCGCGCGCGCGCGCGCGTGTGCGCGCTGACTGCCAAGAGTTCGATTCTGACTGGCTCAAAGTTGGCTCAACCTTCCATCCTTCTGAGGTCAGTAAAATAAGGACCCAAATTGTTGGGGGCAATATACTAAATCTTAGAGAAGGCTGTATAGCACTGTGAAGCGGTATATAAGTCTAAATGCTATTGCTATATTAACACCATGAACTAAATATCTATAGAAGCCTAATGCCACTAAACTATACTCCAGTTGAATTTGTTTTCTGGGAATTTACCTATATTTTCTGCTAAGATGCTATTTTCAAATCTTTCATTCACTCTTTTATTCCTTAAAAGAGACTTATCAACAGGATTCTCTAAAAGAACAACTGTTTCAATTCCTCATGGTCTATATAACCACCCTTTCTTAAATCATCAGCATCCTCATCCTTCGGAATTTTTTTATCACCTACTGATATGACTCACCCTCACTCCAGATTCCCAGCTGATCCAAAGGTCACCTCTAGTAAGAAAACAGGCTGCAGCATGCCGGGCCAGGTGGTGAATCCAGCCTTCCTGTCTCAGCTGGGTCATAATTGCATCAATCCAGGGGAAACCTGTCTTGCCTTCTGCCCACTTTGCCAAGGCTTCAGGATTCCTGTCCCATGGGATCTGGATGCAAATAGGATTTCCTTCCATGCGATCAAATTTAGGATTATTTGTGGCAGCTGTATAAAAAAATTCCCTCCAGAGTAATTGGCCATAAAGTGACAGAGGTGGAGTGCTGTTCCGCTTCACCTAAAGAGGGCAAAAAAGATCATGCTCTATTGGATGGATTTCTGTCAGTCACCATTCTGATGTAATTTTGATTCCAAATTAAAGTATCCAGGGAATCAAGTTTTAGGAAGTTTTTAACAGGAGAGCCTAATATTTTGAGGAAACATCCACTCAAGGCCAAGGCATTTAGGACCAAGCCTATTTAGAATAGTATAATCCCACTAAATTCTTCACCAAATATTAGATAATGTGATAAGATTATTTGCTTTAAATCTTTTTTGTCTACTGGAAAGCAGGACATTCAGAATAATAAAAGCAAAGCAGTTTAAAATATCTGATGCAAAAGGTAATCCTATGAATGTATGTCTAAAAGGTATGAATTGAATAATTGTAGACACACCCACTTTTAGATTTTATGTTGCTGTTGTGTCCATATCTCCTTATTTTCAAAAAGGACTACATAATACAATTTTAAACCTGGTTTTGTTGCTTTTATTTATTTGTATCCCATAGTTACTATTTTTACAAATAACTCAAGGTTGTGAACATATCCAACACACTTTCCTCCTCCTGTTTTCCCTATGATAACCCTATGAGGTAAGTTGGGCTGAGAGAGAGTGACTGGCTCAAGGTCACCCAGCTGGCTTACATGGCTACAGCAGAACTAGAACTCACAATCTCCAATTTTCTAGCCTGGTGCCTTAATCATTAGATCAAACTGGCTCTCGTTTTATCATTTGTATGCATATATTTAATTTCTTTATTTTACTCATAATTCAATCATATACTGTAACTTAAAAGCAGCCTAAAAGATATGAATACTCTCAGGTAAGGTCCAATATTATAATAAAGTAGAAATAAGACTATAATACCTGGAAGGTGTGCATTACTACAAGTAGAAATAAGTTGGGAATTAATATATTCTCCAAATCATTTCATTTCCTTGTGTCGGCAAATCTTCTTTCCCATTCTCATTTCCTCACCTTTTTGTAAAGTTCCCAAAGCCGATAATAGAATAAGCGACAAGACAAGCAGCCAAATCGAAGATAGGGACTCAGCCCTGTGGGGCTGGCCAATAACGAATTGGCATTCATCCTTGGCCGTTCATAGTTTGCAACCCATGCCTTGAAGATATTGGGACAGAAAAAAAATAGAAGTGAAAATAAATAAATAAATAAAAATAAAGAAATTATTTCTTAATTTATAATAAATTTATTTTCATTATAATTAATAAAGAAGATTCAGTGTTTCTTGATAAAAATGTTGCTTATTGTTATGACCAAGCTTATAAATATCTTCAAATATTTATGCATGGGAGTAGGAAAGACATCTTAGCAATCCAGAAATATTGTCAGAACCTGTAGCAATATCTGGCATAGAATATCTGCCTCAATTTTTTTTTAAACACAGGCCCACGTTTCATTACAGAACTAAATTAATCCCTATGGTTTTCTAATAGAAGACAATTTCCTGCAACACAACCTCCAGTTAAGTATCTATGATAGAAACAATATGAAAAAAGGATTTGAGGGGAGGTAAGCATAAATATTATTTTGGATTACAATATTTCTCTTTCTCAGCCATTACAACAGAAGAAGGATTATATGCGTATTCATTAATACATGGTACATTTTTATCACAAAAATATAAGGCAATGCAGCTTGTTCTCAATGACTTAGAACAGTGGTTCTCAATCTGTGGTCCACAAACCCCTGGGGGTCCACAATGTCATCACAGGGGGATTGTGAAGGCTCGAAGAAATGCTATGATTTAAATTTTGAGTTAAGTCTTGGGGGTCTGTGGCCACAAAAGGTATTTAAAGGGGGCCCATGGTGAAGAAAAGGCTGACAACCACTAACTTAGAAAACATAATCTTTCCCTGAAAGGTAATTTTGCAACAAAGATAGGGATGCTTACCTTTCTTTCCAAATGCTTATCCAGACGAGTTAAGGCTTCAGTCTCCCCTCCCTGCCAAACAGCTGGAGCAAGTCCCTCAGTGGGAAACCCTGAGTGAAAAAGGAATGCATCTATTAAAATTTAGCCAACAGGATTAATATCTCAAGCTGTCTCAGAACTATTTGCTGCCATGTTTGCTAAACCACATGCAGAACTACTTGACTTAAAGTAACTTAACTTTGAAAATGGAAAGCGAACAAGTTAAAGAAACAATGATAAGATGGGCGAAAAATTTTGGATACAATATAGAATTAGAAAAATGGCAAAATTTATGGGAAAGAAATTACAAACTGACAAGGTCAACTTCTTACAAAGAACATTTATATAAGATGTTTTATAGATGGCACTTGCCACCAGCAAGACTAGCAAAAATGTTCAAAAACATGTCAGATAGATGTTGGAAATGTAAACATCAGTCAGGCACTTATTATTGTGTTTGGTGGACTTGTGACAAAGTAAAGAATTATAGGAAAAAGATACATGCCTGGCTAGAAAAGATGTTGGGAGAACATGTAGATTTTAAACCTGAACTTTTTAAATTAGGTATAATGCCAGAAAAGACTAACAAACAAAGCATATATTTGATTTTGCATGTCACAACAGCGGCAAGAATTATATTTGCACAATACTGGAAAAATGAAGGAATACCATCAGATGAAGAAATAATTAAAAAAATACTAGAATGCGCAGAGATGGATAGACTGACTATGAGACTGAAAGATAAAGAAGAAACGGAATATTATCAAACTTGAGACTTATTTTATCGATGGCTAGAGGATTAGGAATTAAATATGTATTAGTGAATGTAAACTCAGACAGCACGTTTGTTGAAAAATTATTTTTGAATGTATAGAAAAAAAACCAATAAAAATTTTACAATAAAATAAAATAAAATAACTGGAATGAGTCAGAGTACATCTTTAGAAAAAAAAGAGCCTAATCTGAAACATGCATGCAGACACTGCAGCTTATGCTATTAAAACAGGGAAATATCTTGAAAATCCTTTTATTATAGGGCTTTAAAAAAAAGCCCATATGGAAAAAAGGTAGGAGGTTAGGAATCAAAATGGCAACACTCCAATAGAAAATCCTGATTTAATAATGGTAATTAGGGACTGTAAAAAAAAAAGCCAGAAATTTCTAGGTGCAAATACATACAATAATAAAAAGAATTTTAAAGATCAACTTTCAATTGAAACCAGATCTTTCCTTACTGGATTAATGAATAGCCTATTAGAAAATAGCTACGGAAGATTGTTTTTCTATTACTGCTGTGAAGCTATTATATGCACAAAAATGGAAAAACTTCTGAAATATCCACAATGGAGGAATAGTTGGTGAAGATGACAGACCTAGCAGAGAGAGGAAAATTAACTTGTTTGTTTCCAGAAAGATCAACAACTACATTTATCAATGTCTGGAAACTCCTTATGTTGGGTTTAAGATATTATTCCACCATCATTTTATTATTTTTTTTATTTTGTGTTGCAAATTTCCCAAGCCTTTTCTTGAATGCTGAGATTAAAAAAATCACTAATAAACACTGTTTTGCTCAATTATATAAAAACAATATCTAGTCACTCAATTATTAAAATGTATAATAAAGTATAATAGACAGGAATAAAACACATTATTTTATTGGAATTTTTGGAATATCTTATTTTAGAATATTGGAATAAGTTAAAGGTTTTTTTTTTTTTACTGTTTGCTTAACATGAAGAATAACTGTAAGGACCTAATGGACGATATTTATGTAGCTGCCTAGAATCACAGAAAAGTGAGATGGGTGGCTATATAAACAGAATGAATGAATGAACAAAATAATATGGGCACCACTTGAAGACCTGAAGGGACTGGAAAAGGGCTATCCATGCTAAAAGTTGACACCGACCTCATGGCATATAATCAATTAATCAATGGACAGTTGATCAGTTCATTTTCTCAACTTCAGAATGTATGGATAATCAGAAGATTGCTTTGAAACCAAAACCAGATGAGATTAAATAAGGAAAGAACTACAGCCCATCTAGGAAGTGTTTCAAACCCACCAAAAATACCTAATTCCTCTAGAGATGGCACTCCGTAGGTTTCATCATGGTTCTCTTGGATCTTTGTCTGGCACATCTCCATTTGTTGGCTTGTTATGGTGCTGACTGGCTTTTTGGGCAGATCCATGCGACTAATGATGGCCTGAAAACGTTTGTAAGTGAGGGGTGGTTTATGTCCATTCAGCTCAATGATCCTGCAGGATAAAGAAACAACAGCTTTGTTCCATGAGATAGGCAGGGAAAGTATTTTGTCAAGATCTTCCTTCCTTCCTTCCTTCCTTCCTTCCTTCCTTCCTTCCTTCCTTCCTTCCTTCCTTCCTCCCTCCCTCCCTCCCTCCCTCCCTCCCTATTTACTTGCTTATTTATTCAAATTGTTCCCTTCCTTGTTAGCCTTCTACAGGTAGTCTTCAACTTACGACCACAATTGAGCCCAACATTTCTGTTGCTAAGTGAAACATTTGTAAGATGAATTTGCCCCATTTTATGATCTTTCTTGCCATAGTTGTTAAGTGAATCACTACAGTTGTTAAGTTACTGTCTTGGTTGTTAAGTGAATCTGGCTTCCCCGTTGACTTTACTTGTAAGAAAGTCGCAAAAGATAGCCACATGACCCTGGGACACTGCAACCGTCATAACTATGAGTCAGTTGCCAAGTGACTGAATTTTGATCACATGACTGTGGGGATGCTGCAACAGTCTAAGTGTGAAAAATGGCCATAAGTCACTTTTTCAGTGGTGTAACATTGAATGGTCACTAAATGAACTGTTGTAAGTCGAGGACTACTTATATAAGGCTTCGTAGACATGCCTTTTCCCTCAAACATTAGAGCTGGGAAGTTAGAGGTATCTGGTTGATTTGTCTGTCTGCAATTGACCTGCAAGATGGAAGGGGTTTTTTGGAACTCAGATGCATTATATTATTAAGGTCTGTTTGTTGAGCAACCAGGACCAACAGCTGCAGGATTACTGGAAGAAAAATTGTTTACCCATCACAAATATAGAAAGACTGAAAATAAAGAAATTCACCAAGGTGACTTCAGCATTCCTATAGAATCCTTCTCATTCTCAACTCAATGAAAGTTGAGACTAGCATGCCTTTACCTATGTATTTGATGTTTGGCTCAGGGTATTAAAACTGGAATGGTAAAAAGTTTACAATGGCAGCCTTTATTAAAAACAAAGCAAGAGAAGTCATGGAATGTATATCTCCTCTCCCTCAACATTATGCAATATATTCAAGGATTTTGACTGTACATTTATGTTGTTTCTTTTTTAAAAAAAAAATAGCAGAAAGGTATTGTTAGGTGTTTTTTTGTAGGAAGTACTGTGTACATATGATCATGAATAATTCAGATAACTTTTTTGTGAACCTTAAAATAACATTTTAAAAACTGGGTCTGTATCTGATTTTAAAATTTTATTTGACTTGAGCTAAAATTTTTTGAATGGGTTGCGTATATTTCTCTTCCTTCCAGTCTAGATGTAAAGGGTTACAGTCCTCCCCCTCCATACCCTTATTCCCAAGAGGTAGCACCTTTATACATATTGCTGATGCCAGTATGTATATGAACTACTGGAGATGCGAGAGAAAGCAAACCTGTTCACTGACTAAAAAAAATAAAATAAAAAATGATTCTTCCTTTTTTTTGTCATCATCTGTGATTTGAGGGATTTGTTGGGGATATCTGTTTTATTTCCAGATATCTATAGTTTACACTCTCTGGATACTGTGCATATATATTACAGTGATTATTATAAACCTGTACTGTACTGTAATGTACTGAATATAAGACTGTTTCATTGAAAATACCCATAAGAGGAATAGAATACATAATCCTTTATGCATATTGTCTGAAACTAGAATGCATTTTGCTAATATTAAGATACATTTAAATATTTAAATGAGAAAATTCCATTTGGTTTGCTGCTGAAGAAGTCTGGACTTTAAATTTACCTTAAACTTGTTTCATCACACTAAATAATGTCGTTATTTGAATTTTTTTTGAATGACCTAATTCAGCATATTGAAACTCAAGTACTTTGGCCACCTAATGAGAAGGAATGACTCACTGGAGAAGGGCCTAATGCTGGGAAAGATTGAGGGCAATAGAAGAAAGGGACGACAGAGAATGAGATGGCTGGATGGAGTCACTGAAGCAGTAGGTGTGAACTTAAATGGACTCCAGAAGATGGTAGAGGACAGGAAGGCCTGGAGGAACGTTGTCCATGGGCTTGCGATGGGTAGGACACAACTTCGCCACTAACAACAACAAATTCAGCATAATGTCATAATTTCAAATTTAATGGAGACTGGATTGACAAGGCATTGTTGTTCCCCAATTAAGCTATTAAATCTACATTTCCCTGTATTAAAAAGCCTACTTCTTGAAAACCTGTACAACAGTTCAAAACCAAGAATAAAAAAAACATAAGGAGCAATGCATTAAACTAAATCTGCTGTAAGTTATACTTTCTTTGAATAACATTCTAAGTTTCAGAAGTCTTTGACCAGTGGTTTGGTTGGCCCTATTTTTATGAAATACAAAACTATCTTCACATAGTTCAAACTGGAATAGCAGAACAGGGAAAAAATTTCTTGTATAAATAGGAAAGTGTCAAAAGCACGGGGAACTGCACTGAACAATTCTCTATGTAGCTTACAATTTTTGCTCCTAGTAGAAAATCCTGTCACCCATTTAACCAAAGGATGAATTTTCAATGTAACTACAGTAGTAAATACTCAAATCCTCGATTCCTGATACAGTTCTAAAGATAACAAAATAACAAAAAAAGCTTCTTTCAACATGTAAAAAACAAGAAAAAAGTGAAGGAAATGATTGGTCCATTAGTGGGTGAAAGTGGCAAGAAGGTGACAAGCAACAGGGAGAAAGCAGAACTATTTAACTCGTTTTTCGCATCTGTCTTTACACAAAGGGAAAAAACAGAACAACCTATCAAAAACAGTGCCATAAAAAACAGAATAGAAACACAAGTTAAGATAGGCAAGAAAATGGTTAAGTGAGCACCTGTCCAGCCTAGACGAGTTCAAATTGCCAAGACCAGATGGATTACACCCCAAGGTTCTCAAGGAACCGGCAGGTGTGATCTCAGAACCACTGAACTATATTTTTCAAAGATCCTGGAGTACTGGGAAACTACCAGAGGACTGGAAAAGAGCTGATGTAGTTCCCATCTACAAAAAAGGAAAAAAAATGGACCCAGGAAATTACAGACCTATCAGCCTGACCTCAAGACCTGGGAAGATCCTGGAAAAGACAATCAAACAACGAATCAGTGAACACCTACAGGCAAACAAACTCATTACTAAAAGCCAACATGTGTTTGTCAAAAATAGATCATGCCAGACAAATCTTATTGCATTCTTTGACCAAGTGACAAAATTAGTGGATCAGAGGAATGCTGTGGACATAATTTACTTGGACTTCAGTAAGGCATTTGATAAAGTAGATCACAACTACTACTTGACAAGAAAGAAAAATGTGGGGTAGACAGCACCACCACCAGATGGATCCGGAGCTGGCTGACCGGCCGTACTCAGCGTGTGGTCCTCAATGGAACCGCATCTGTGTGTAGTGGGGTGCCCCAGGGCTCTGTTCTGGGCCCAGTGCTCTTCAACATCTTTATCAACGATTTGGACGAGGGGATAGATGGGGAACTCATTAAATTTGCAGACGACACCAAGTTGGTAGGAATAGCCAACACTCCAGAAGACAAGCTTAAGATACAGAAGGATCTGGACAGACTTGAACACTGGGCGCTATCTAACAAAATGAAATTCAGTGGTGAAAAAAGCAAGGTTCTACATTTAGGCAAGAAAAACCAAATGCACAAATATAGTATAGGGGGTACCTTGCTCAATAGTAATTAACTGTGAGAGGGACCTCGGAGTCCTAGTGGACAATCACCTAAATATGAGCCTGCATCCAGTTTTGGTCACCGCAATGTAAAAAAGATGTTGAGACTCTAGAAAGAGTACAGAGAAGAGCAACAAAGATGATTAGGGGACTGGAGGCTAAAGCATATAGGGAATGGCTGCTGGAATTGGGTATGTCTAGTTTAATGAAGAGAAGGATGAGGGGTGATATGACAGCAGTGTTCCAATATCTCAGGGGCTGCCCCAAAGAAGAGGGAGTCAAGCTATTCTCCAAAGCTCCTGAAGGCAGGACAAGAAGCAACAGGTGGAAACTAAGCAAGGAGAGAAGCAACCTAGAACTAAGGAGAAACTTCCTGACAGTTAGAACAATTAACCAGTGAAACAATCTCCCTCCAGAAGCGGTGAATGCTCCAACAGTGGAGGTTTTTAAGAAGAGACTGGACAGCCATTTGTCCGAAATGGTATAGGGTTTCCTGCCTGAGCAGGGGGTTGGACTAGATGACCTCTAAGGTCCCGTCCAACTTTATTATTATTATTATTATTATTTTGCACTGAAGCAACAGATCTATAACAAACTCCAGAATAAAATACAGCAGAGCAAAGCAAAACAAGAAAGCTTAAAAGAGAAAAAAAAAAAAACAGGCTAAAAAAGGAAGAGTTAAACAGAAAGAGCAAGAGTCAAGCTGCTGTCTTATATAAAATCTGAGGCAGCAGAACAGCTTTCTGTCCCTTCAGCCAATCTTTCTCGTCACCCATCTATGCAAACAGAGCTTTCAATCCAGCCATGTGCCTGACTTTCCTCCAGGGCAGCACGTGTGATGGGGAGGAGCTCCACGTTGCTCATCCTTTTCAATCAGCTATGCTCACATGCGTGGCTTTGTGACCCAACTTTCTAACAATGCATAACACCCACAAAGGGACTTTGTCTTTGAATCCAAGCGTCAATCCCTCTTCAGTTAACAAAGCTAAACGCAATCTTCAAAAAGGAGTTTTTCTCTGAAATTAGGTGTATTATAGACGAATAAAGATCCAAGGCAATAGTATGACTGTTGACTACAGATATGAAACCAGGTTAAAGAGCATGTTCTAGCTTCTGCAACTGCCAGCATATTGATCATGAAAATATAAGGTCAAAGCTTTGGCTCAGCCCTGCTCAACAGGAGTCTTTAGAAAAGCCCTTTTCAGCTGTAGCTCCCCAATTTTACTATGATGGACTATGAAAAACAACTTTTGCTAGAATGCCCAAGCAATTCTAAAAATTAGAACTCTAGGAAAAAGTTTCTCCTTTTACAAGAGCAAATATGTTCTAGGAGGCGATAGCTAAAATAGATGAGTAATACAAATAATATAAGTGTTTCCCATTTTGAAAGGGATACGAAAATCTCTACAGCTGAAGAAAGAAAAACTCACAACTGTTTTTTCCTATTATTTGCAATATGCTGCTTCATTCACAGAAACCCTACAATAAAGCAGTGCAAGGCTTATTTGATTACAGGTTTCAAAGCTGCAGCCTAAGCAGTTTCTTAACTGATTAACATTTAATACCGGTAAGGGATTGCTATTTTCAATGACCACCAAGAGAGAAATTTTCCAGACAACCCATCTTGGAGGGAATCCAATATTTAGACAGCAATACTTTATAAGCCAGAAGCATGATAAACTATGAGATGGCTTACAGCCCTGCACAATTTTAGTATTGTGGTCTGCAAAACTTTTTTTTCTCTATAATTGCACAAAGTAGATCATTTCAAGAGCTATGCAGACCTAATCTGCATCAATTGAAGGTCTCACTCTCTAGATCAGGGGTGTCAAACTGCCAGCCCATGGGCCGGTTGCATTATGCAGAGGCCGGCCCCACCCCAGCTCCGGCAATGCAAAAAAAGTCACGATACGTTGTGACATGTCATGTGACGCGGCGAGTTTGACACCCGTGCTCTATGAATCCTTCCCTATCCATCATTGCCTGTCAGAGAGAGGAATGCTTGAAAAAAGAAATTAAAAATCATTAAGAAATAGAAAGAAAAATATGTATTTTTATTTTTCCCTGAAAAAATAAAAAGGACTTCCTAATACATTCATTTTGAATAATGCCTAGAACAAAGGTGAAAGAATCTATGTTTTCAACCTATGAAATCAAGAAATAAATATGTAAAGAATGACATTTGTCGCAATGTGCTAAAATATACATCTTTCTCTCCATCCATCTACCCACTTTTTCTCAACCATTTCCCCCTGAAAATTAGTACTCTGCCTTACTGTTTGAATAAGTGGAGAACTTCATGCAAAGTAGGATTAATTTCTTCTGTTTTCAGTAATAATTATTTGCCTATCTGCTTTTCCTGAACAAGCAGACATCATGAGATGTTCTAATTCAGTGATGGCGAACCTTTTAGAGACCGAGTGCCCAAACTGCAACCCAAAACCACTTATATATCACCGGGTGCCGGGTGGGCGTGGCCCACTGGGTGGGCATGGCCAGCTTGATGTTGCTCCTGGGGAGAGATGCCTGTGGGGGCTGGGCAGGGTTAGGGAGATCCAGGGGGCCTTTGGTGGGTGGGGCGGTGGGCAGGAGGCTCGATCTGCGGAGTGAGATGAGGCAAGATGAGGCGGGGGGGTGCCATTGTCACAGGACAAGGCGAGGCAGGGGCCAGGGCGGCTGCTGCCTGACACCACTGACCCCTGCACACAGAGACCAGTGAGTGCATGGGTGCTGGGATGCATCTGGCCATGTGGGACCTTGGCGAATTAGTGGGCGGCTGGTTGAAGAGGACAGTTGCCATCGCCGGAATATGGCACGCGTGCCCACAGAGAGTGCTCTGAGTGCCACCTCCGGCACACATGCCATAGGTTTGCCACCACTGTTCTAATTCCTCAACAATTCAGCTGCTTACAATGCTGTTTGTAACATTTATATGATGTTATAATAATGTTTATGGCATAGTATTAAGATGTTAGTCAAGGAGTGGGATTCTGATCCACCTTCCAGCCATGGAAGCTTGCTAGCTGACTCTGTGCCTTTCATTTCCCTTAGCCTAGTCTACCTTAGAACATAGCATCATAGAACTGGAAGAAACCCCGGAGGTCTTCCAGTCCAACCTCCTGCTAAAGGCAGGAGTCTTATACCACCCCAAATGGTTGCCCAGTCTATTTTTGAAAACCTCCAGTGATGGCACACCCACAACTCCAGGAAGCAGGATATTAATTATTCTCACTGTCAGAAAATATCACCTTACCTCTAGATTGGATCTCTCTCCGACAAACTTCCACTATTACTTCTTATACTGCTTTCTGTTGCTTTGGAGAATAAGTCAGTCCCCTCTGTGACAGCCCCTCGGGTACTGGAAGACTGTTATCATGTCCCCCCCCCCAATTTTTCTCTTTAATAGGCTAGACATATTTAGCTCCCCCAACCATTCATCATACAATTTAACCTCCAGACTCTTTATATCATTGTTACTCTTCTCTGCGCACTTTCCAGGCTCTCACCATCTTTTTTGTATTGTGGTGATTAGAACTGGATGCAGTATTCTAACTGTGGTCTCACGAATGTGGCATTGTTGTGGGGTAAAAAACAGAAGGAGGGAGAACTATGTTCATTTAGCAAATTCTTCAAATTTCTGGCTTTATGCTGTTTCTAAATTTCTGGAAAATTTACATCTCTAGTCAGCCAGCACAAAGTTGATCCTGCCAATGATTCTACAAGAATACTGACAGGACCATTTATGTTCAGCTGTAGCCTCTCATTGGGCAAGACCTGAGGCGTTCCTAGAGCTTTTATTCGGTGCACATTGTTCCTAAGGCTGGGCGGGGGGGGGGGGGGGAGGAGAGGTTCAAGCCAGATGCTTGAACCGCCCTGCATCCTTGTTTGTGCCAGTCTTCTGTCCCAGAGAAATGAAAATAATGGAAGCACAGCATAACTGAACATGTTGCTGCTAGCTCTGCTCCATAAAGCCTTGTCCTCTGATATCACCCAGCCACTCGATGACACAGAAGGCTGGGCTTGGCTCCTGGCTCCGATCCAATTCTCCGCTGTATCTAATTTGTGGCTTGCTTCTGCTTGTCTTTTCCCACACACATTTCAAGTTTGAAAACTGGCACAGGCAACAATATTGTTTCATATATCTTCTTATTGAACTATAGAGGCATTTGTATTCCAGGAGATTGTTCACATATAGCAGGCTAGAATTAAAGACAGGGAGGTAGACAAGCCAATCCCCAACCCCCAGTCTGTGGACCGGCACCGGTCCGCGGCATGCCAGAAATCAGGCCACGCAAATAAGTGAAGCCCAATCCACAGGATGCAGGCAGCACGCAAAACCATACCTCCTCCGGTCCTCAGAAAAACCTTTCTCCATTGAACCAGTCCCTGGTGCCCAAAAGGTTAGGGCCACTGGCCTACAGGAATTCCATCTTGTGGACCAGCTGCTCTATTCAATAGTCTGCAATTATAAGTGCAAACTGCTACATCTGGATGGCCAAGACAGTATAGATATATGATTATCTTTCTTCATGAGTTAGTTTGAATGATTGGCAGTATGGCATCTTAATTAATCTGAGCTCCTTTTCCTTGGGGCTTTCAACACTGAGGGTAAGGCTGTCCAGTCAGGAATGATTCAGGATTGCACATCCTCCATAACTGGACCTGATATGACTAATATCTGGTCTCACACAATCAGTAGAACATATGTTGGATTTAATATTATATCCAAGTGGCATTAGTGCTTTGGAAATGTAGGAGTTTCATATGACTCCGCTGCTATGGACAAATTGCTCTCTATATAATCTACAGGTCTGAAAAATTGGTTAAAATGGTGCATTCCTGGCACCTGATGGATATGGATGTTTTCCTGACCCCATGGAGAGATTTTCTCACACTGTCTATTGGTGACACTATTAATGCCCTGGGTACTGACCTAGAGATGGCCCAAACTGACATTATTACATACTTGGTTTACTAGGAAGTAGGCTAGTACAGTACAGTGCATGAAACATTAATTGCAGTTTAAGTGAAGAATACTTTAGGATGGATCACATTGAACATGGCGGGAGGCTATTTGAAATCCTATTCCATTTCAGCACCCACTATTCTTTAAGAAATACAAGAAAACATCCAAAGTACATACCCCCTCTTTTAAAATACGTCTGGACTTTACTAGATTGCAAGCTTGCTGTAGGTATAACTTATGGGACTTGTATTGTAGACATAACAAACTTAGTTTGTATTTTATAAATATAGAATTAGTTTCTCTTTATTCTTCTCTCCTCTTTCTCAGAACATGGGAGTTTGCTATATACACAAACTGTTAACTTCTGTATCTATATGGCCATAGCAGAGAAAATGAAACTCTGACCCATTTTATAAAAAGTCTCCCAAATCATCCCCTATGCCTATCCTCAGTTTTGTTTTGTCTTCCTCTTAGACATGTGACACTTGCATATAAAGAGAATGGTATCTTACCTATCTAGGTCATAAAGGGTGTGTGAATTCTCTGTTGTCACCTTTACTCCTGCTTCCTTAGCCAATTTCACTATAGCTGCATCTCTCTCTTTTCCAAAAGGCTCTGAGTCATATTCAAAAGTGAGATGGGTCACCCCCCATTCCTGTAAAAAAAACCCGGAAAATATCAGGTAAGTACCAATGCAAATCATTAAAATGTGGTGGTAATATTCAAAACAAAATAATGACACAAATCCAACAGTAGAACAAGGGAAAAGATGTGCAAATGGAGTTTTCCCCCCAAAATTCTCCCATGACACTCCCTTTGTTTCTTTTATATAATTTTTATTAAAGATCTTTTTAAAAGAAAATAAAAACTAATACAAAACTATATAAAGTAAGACAAAGAAAACTATCAAAGAGAAATCTAAAAGTGCAAGAATGGAAAAAAATAAAGTAGAAAAGAATGAAAAAAGATACAAAGAAATAGGTTCCAAACTTAACTCTCTTATTCCTATGATTATCTATAAAAACCATAAATCATAACTTCATTTTTTTCTATTTTAGGCAAGAAATCCATAAGAGGATTCCAATTAGCCATAAACACAGATATTGACTTTTCTCTAATCAAAGAAGCCGATTTAGCCATCTTGGCAGTTTCCTTCATCTTCACCAATCACTCCTCTAATGTGAATATTATTGAATCTTTGTTTGAGCATATAATCATCTCATATAATAGTTATCATAGGATATTTAGCTTTCCATAAACACAAAAGAAAAAAAAGGCATTGTCTATCACAGTGATGGTGAACCTTTTAGAGACCGGGTGCCCAAAAACTGGCCCCACCCTCGCTCTACCCCCTGCCCTGCTTCACCCCGCCTGCCCGCAGGGCCCGCCGCAGATCTCCCAGGCAGCCCAGCAGTGCCATGGAGGCTACGCCCTCTGCCCATGCCCCGCAGAATCAACTGTGCATGATGGGGTATGAGGGCAGAGTCTTTTCTACACTATCTGGCTGCTATGTCCTTGGCTGCGTTGCTCCGCATGAGCCACGCTCAACTCTCTTCCAGGGGGGCTGCTGGGGAGGAGGGGGCCATGGGGGGAGGTGGGGCTGGGGCAACAGCACGCATGCCCACAGAAAGGGCTCTGAGTGCCGCCTCTGGCACACATGCCATAGGTTCGCCACCACTGGTCTATCAGTTCCAAACAACTACTGTAAGATTCCTGTTTCAAACTCAGCAAAAAAAAAAAAAAAATCCATTGCAATAGTTTATTATGGTTCCTGTCTTATCAAAATGCATTAAACCTCAAGTAATATAACTATTATCAAGTAATATAACTATTATCAAGTAATATAACTATTATCAAGAAGATTACTGCATTGGGCGTGACTGATAGGATAGAGAAAATTCTCTCCCCCAGGTTGGTTTTTAATTTTTAACTTTTTATTCTATTTTGTTTTTTGCACTTTTTAACTTTTATTTTATTGTAAGCCACACAGAGTTGCTGTGTCAGTAAGATGAGTGTGATTAATGAGGCATAGAAATCCAATAAATAAATAATAAATAGATAAAGATATAACCAATGTTAACAATGCACATCTTTGCATGTGGTTTTCTAGGCAGGAATTCTGTTCCAGTTTTTATTATTCTTGAATGACGGCCATTTTGGCTGGCAGCTGTGTCCAGCAAGTTCTGAAGTATCACTGATTGCCTATTTCTGAAATGTAGCAAGCAACCAAACACATTAGGCTCATCAGCATTTCTGAAATGAAGATCACCTGTTTAATTTCTACCACTGATAGTTGGCCAGTTTCTATGTTCTTAGATGAAAATTAGATTAAAATAATATCTGTCAAAATGGAGGACCACTCTGGGAGATAGACAAAGAAAACCCAACCTTTTTATGATCTTCCACCTTTTTATTTCAGCCAAGGTATCTTAATGGATTTCTCTGGGCTGAAGTTGGAAACATGGTATAAAATGGATGTTATCCTACTTTAATAAATTGAACCTATAGCACTGAGCAATGGAATGATATACAGTAGTGGCCAAAATTGTGGAAATCTTTTGGGAAAAGTGTATTTTTGAGGTTTGATGGCTAATAACACCACTTTTTTGGGGAGTAGTACCATAAAATTATATACCAATGGAAAGATAATTTAATCAAGAATGTAACGCAACAAAATTTGTTCAATTATGTGTACTGTATTCTATGAAAAGTTATAGCCAAATAACCAGAAAAAGGAAGCACAACTTGCTTAGGTTGATATCAGGTAGCTTTCCTTCCTTTGATTGTAGCCAATGGGCATGAATGTTTAGAGAGCCAATCAGATGTCACCTTTTTTTGGCAATGAGCCAATCAGATCACAGTAGGATTCAGTTATTTATGTCATGTATTGAAGCTGAGAGGAGGACATCTGTCAGTGTGTTATGTGATCGCTATCAAGTTGGTTGGTTTTTTTTGTATTCTTTCATTTAGTGAGCTTGTAAAACGTAATAAAATTAAAGTAATGGTGCAAAGAGTTGACTGTTGCCCAGAAAGCAATGTAAAATAGTATTATTAAGTGAACAAGGCTACAGTTACAAAGAAATTAGAAGAAAAATTGGTGGAAACTTAACCAAAGGTGGCATTTCTACCAAAAGGTTTCCACAATTTTGGCCACTACTATAAGATTCCACTCCATCCTTCGTGTTATTTATGAAACCACCAGGTAAAATCACAGGGAAGTTCAATGGAGGTACTATGAGTAGATTAATGATATTCAGCTCTATTTCTTCATTTAATGAATCAGGTGAGACTATGCAGATACTGGACCTCTGCCTTGCCCACAATTAAGCCAAATAAGGGGCAGTCAAATGAGATGGAATGCTTACAAAGCGAAGTAGCTAGAGCAGGTATGTCAAACTCAAGGCCCACGGGCCAGATCCAGCCCATAATGTGTTTAGATCTGGCCCACAAGCAGACTAGTAGGAAGAGGTGATCAAGTATGTAGTGGCGTGTGTGTGTGTGTGAGAGCTGAAGTGGCGGCAGCACCAGAGAGGCCTGGGGAAGAATTAGCTGGAGCTGCAGTGTTGCTGGGGTTCTGCTGAGGCCCCCGGAATAAGCATGTGTGGCTCTAGCTGTTCAGTGCTTCCGGTAGCCTCGGAGGTGGCCAGCAGCTGCACTCAGTCTTTGGGGGAAGAGTCAGCTGGAGCTGTGGGGCCGCTGGGGACCCCAGAATCAGCAAATGCAGCTCCAACTGATGAGCGCTGTGTGAAAAGGCCAGCCGGGCAGTGAGTGAATGCATGGGGGAGGAGAGGATATAAAAGAAGGGGTTTGGGCAGGAAGGAGGAGTGAGAGGGGAGAGAACGCGATTGGGAGATGCCGGTGGGGCAAGCCTGAGGGAGAGAAGGGGACAGAATAGGAAAGGCTTCTGTGGACAAGCCTGAAAGAGTTTGAGTGAAAGGGGGGCAAGCAGAGGAATCAACGAAGAAGCAGAAGCTGTGGAAGAAGAGCCCAGGAACAGAGCATTGCAACAGAGAAGAGAGAGAAGAAGGGCCAATTATCCACCTAAATACCATCCCATCCCATGACCTGCCTGCTGGGAAAAGACTGACCACCACCCCTTCACGTGACGTGCCTGCTGGGAGAGACTGACCGCACCACATAACATGACCCAGGCAAGCAAGAGACTAGGGTGGACCGACAACCATACCAAGAGGGCCAGGAGAACCCGGACTCCAGCGACCCTTAGGGGGGTAGCTCTACAAATAGTTACTCCTCATTTCTTCAGATGTCTTGTCAGTGGCAGCAGTGCTAACAGAGGATGGGCAGCGGGAGCCTCTTTAATGCGTGAAACTGTGTGACAGTGGCAACCACATGGGCAGGTGGGCCTGGCTAAAGCACCCTCTGTGTGAGAGTGAACGGCTGGTGAGGGAAGGAAAGGGAGGGAAGGAAAGAGAAAGGATGGAAGGTGCTCGAATCGTGTGTTTCTTCAGTTCTCATCCCTCCCTGTCTTGCCACCTTTCCATACTCCTCTTCCTTTGTCTGTGCTGCCCTTTCCAACAAGCAGGCGCTTGCCACGCAGGGTGAGGAAACATGAAACGGGAGGCTTATGTGTGCTGGGCCTGGGCCAAAGCTAGTTGGGAAGCCCAAGCCACGTGCTGCTCAAGTGCATGTGCTTCCTTCGAAGTTGCTGCTGCCTTTCCGGGTGACAGATCTGTGACTCGGTCTCTCTACTATTCGGACAAAATGGCACGAGAGAGAGAGAACTAAATTTGGTTTTTTTGCAGATTTATTTGAAATATTTGAAATGTTAATCCTGTTGACCTACATCTTAAACATAATGCATTCCTGAAGTAATATGATACATAGTCTTGCATGCAACTGGCCCTTTGAGGGCAACCGTAATGCTGATGCAGCCCTCAATGAAATTGGGTTTGACACTCCTGAGCTAGAGGGTACCTAAATGAGAAATAATCTGACCATTTTTAGATGGGCACATCTAAGGAGTACACATAAAGAAGGATAGTCTTAGATCCATTTTTGTAACTGAAAGTTGAGATAACAACTGCGTGGATTATGTTCCTCCAGTATTAACTACCCACTTGTTAAAATTACAGTTGTCTTTGCATGCCAGACTGGATGCTTTGGAAATGAAGAAAGTTATTTGCACCGAATTTATGTGAACCTGTACCAAAAGCCAACTTGAAAATGCAGCTTGAATCAAATTGACTGACTGAAGTTTACTTTATTTCTCAGCAATTCTTTTCTATTTACATGAGTCATTCTTTGCACACAGTGTATATAGTGTGAAATAAATCAATACTGTATAGTCAATGATTTAGAGTAGTGTTTTTCAGCCTCGACAATTTTAAGATGTGTGGACTTCAACTTCCAGAATTCCCTAGCCACCTGAGAAACACTTCTCTAAAGCATTAACTATACGGTATTGATTTATAAGCTGAGAGACACTGTTCAAAAGCACAATAAAAGATTTCAAGAATATTTACAGCCCCATCTAGCTTTTTGGAGTATGCCAGTGCTCAAAAATATTATCCCGACTAACTAAGTACATGTAAGTCTTTATTCTTTATCTACAGAAAAAAACCCTACACTTTTCAAATATATAAAAATATCTTTACCTTCTCGGCTCTGCATGACTTTAACATACACAAATACTCTAAAGAATCAAAGGGAGCATTGCTATGATTCATGTGGAGACCAAACAATGGGAAATACATTTTATAGAGATGCACATATACATATCTACAATTTGCCCCCCAAAAGCTCTGTGAAGTAAGTACACATATTCGATTAAACAGCTGCAATCAGAGATGAGGAACTGTTGGGATGTGTGTTGCTTTCTAATTAACACCTTTACATCCTGGCAGAAAGCAAGGAAGGATACAAGGGAAAGGGCTGGGAGGCAAAATGTAATTACACTTCTTTCAATTTCTTCATATAATATAAATAGACAAGTATATAAGATAATATTTTAAGGGTTCTGGATATATTGCATTAAGTATCTGACCACATATACCAGTGGTGCCGAACCTATGGCACGGGTGCCAGAGGCGGCACTCAGAGCCCTCTCTGTGGGCACGCGCGCTGTCACCCCAATCCTAGGCCTTCAGCTGGGTTTTATAAAACCATTTTGCTTCAGGCCTCCGCTGCCATTTGCAAAAAAAAAAAAAAAAAGGTTCAGTCAGTCAATTTCAATTTCTTGCGGAAAAAAAAAAAGATCTTGCAAAGTTGGAATTGATTGATTGAACTTTTTAGTCCCACCAGGCTGCCGTTACCATCACAGCCACGCCCACCCAATGGGCCACGCTCACCCAATGGGCCACACCCAGCCAATGGGTCACACCCACCCGGCACCAGACGATGCATAAGTGGGTTTTGGGTTGTAATTTGGGCACTTGGTCTCTAAAAGGTTCGCCATCACTAACATATACAGTTCAATAGAAGAACATGAATAATGCAGTTACTGAAAGTTAAAATAAATTTTTAGCCAATGAGTAAGAAAAAAAGGTTGCTCTATATATCTTTAACTTACTCATTCACATGTTTGTTAATCAAACAAAAATGGCATAATTAAAGCCTCTTTTTCTACTACTGTGAACTAAAATAACCATTTATAATCATAGCCAGAATTAAAGTTGAGTGACTTTGAAATGTTAATTTAATAAAACAGGGAATATTTCAGTAACATATTTGAAAAAAAAAGGCTAACAGAAAAATTATTGGACTACATATGTCACAAGACTAGTAGGAAAAATATGTATTTTTTCTATTTTTACAATATAATAAATCCTCAATTTAAAAGATCTCAGCTGAACAGATTTTGGATCCAATAGAACAAATCTGTCCATATGCTACATGATTCTGATTATGTGTCATCAAGTTATTTTGATACCTAGCAACCACACAGATTTTTCGCATGATACATGGCTCTGTCCTATATTAAATGCCATGCACTGTATTATGTTTGCATAAATTTCATTTATTATGTTATGGATGTATAAAACTTGCAGATAACTGTTTGAATGTGATAATCCCTTTTGCCATTTTTGCATGCAAGTAATGTACAGTTTACAATATACTTGAGTAAAATGCCATTCCCATTTTGCATGTGCAAAAACCCACTCAGATTTAATGAATATTTTGTCTTTAGCAGACATTGCTTCTCCTTATTGTCCATTACATCAAGGATTTCCAGTACATACTGTATGATGCCCATAATTTCTGATAGTATACAACGTTAGATAGGTTTGATAAGAGCAATTATCCAAAACATCCCTATAAACCTTATTATATTTTACTTTCCCATACAATAAGAATAAATTAGATCCTCTGTAACTTAATAAGCTAAGAGACTTTGTTCTAATAGAAGGGGAAGAAATAAGACACGAGTCAACTGATGCCTTCATCACTGAAAAGTATTGTAAGGCAGCATCCCTAAAGGCTTGAGAGAGTTAAGCAAATCATAGCTAACATCACCTGGATTTATAGTTTATAACCAACCCATTACTATTGGAAAATTTTCAAATTCTACATCAGAAGCATACTAGAAAAGAAGAAGGGAAGGAGTTCTGGGCTCATTTCTAACCTGCTACTATTGCAATGTTATAAAAACATTCACTCCTAGGCTTTTAAGACAAGAAACTCATGTATATATGCACTTAGACAATGTTTATTTCTTTTCCCCTCCTACTCCTTCTTCTGTTCTTTTGGTTTTTTGCCTAGCCCCTTCTCAAAAATAACATAGCCATAACTGAAAGGCCAAATATTTACAGTAGGCAAACTGTATCTATGTGCTAAAATGAAAGTGAAGTACTTATGTTAGGCAGAATGAATAATATTTGAGAGATTATCAAAAGAGCTTTGAATTCAATAGAAAAAAACTTTTAACTGTTTAATAAAATATTAAATGTTTAATATTTAACATTTTTAAAATAAATTTAAAAATAATTTCTTTTTGAAAAAAAATACCCGTTCTAATATGCCCTCTTGAAAACCAATCCTATTAATGGTATTTACCGTATATGCCGGCATACAAGGCGACCCGGCATATAAGACGACCCCCTCTATCGCTGGGCCGCATTCCTAGAATGTCGTCTTATACGCCGGAAACTACCAGTATTTCCGGCGTATAAGACGACTCGGCGTATAAGACGACCCCCGTCTTTGGCGCCGATTTCAGCGCTCGCGGAAGTCGCCTTATACGCCGGCATTTACGGTATTAGAATGCCATTACACTAAAAACCATGAATCACCTCTATTCATGGAAGCATGAGAAAACAGCTGGCATATATGGAAGAACCATCTTATTATTTATAAATATATAGGTGATTTTAATCCAAATCCAAAGATAACAAAATATCAGTATTAGCAGTATAAGTTAGATTTATTTTTTTAAATTTTATAAGCAAATTACATTCTAGCCAAACAGGATTTTCAGATGTAGTTATAATCTTACTTTAAAGAGTCTTGGAAAAACATCAGTTGGCTGCCCTCGTACTACAAATAAACGGGAATTAAGTTTTCTTAAACTGTTGTCCAAATCTTCCAGAGACTGGAGCAAAAACCTAAGAAGAAGAAACAAAATGTAATCAACAATTGTATCACACCTTTGAGCTAGGATAGGTTATAAAACAAATGCCATAAGAACTACTAGAGCTCTGCTTCATTGTTGAAAAGTATAACAACAAATCTTGGAAGCCTGACCAATTCTGTCACCCTCTTATTATTCTAAGGAAAATCAAGGCAGGGCAATCTTGAGTTTCTTTCTCATTCACTCACTCACTCCTCTTCCCTTCTAAAGCTAAATTGGTGTTTACATAACAGAGGTTGAATACCATCTTCAAGGCCATCTCTGTACTCCTCTCAAAATTATCTAGCAAGACACAATTAAGAATCCTTCGCAAATACTTCTTCTTTTTTTCGTACTTTTTCAATAGGGAAAAATTGTAAAATGAAAGAAAAAATCAAGTGTTTTACTTGGTGAGAAAGTTCTCAATAGGAAACAATTCAAAATATCGTAAAAAAGTACTTCAGTGAATAATACACACACATGCTCAGAAAATATGGTTAACACAAATATGATCTGAGAGAGCTTATCAATAGATTCAGTTGTCTGGTCTCTTTCATTTATTTCAGTGTTTCCCAAACTTGACAATTTTAAGGCATATGGACTTCAACTCCCAGAATTCCACAGCCAGCGTTGCTGGCTGTGGAATTCTGGGAGTTGAAGTCCTCATGCCTTAAAATTGTGAAGTTTGGGAAACACTGATTTATTTGATGGGTTCCTCCTCTGCCTCCTGGCATGAAGTTGGGATAGTAAAATGGATAAATATCTTAGCATATAACTTATATTGTAATATAAGGATATGTGTGCATTTTTTTGTGAAAGTCTACACTCGGTCTTTGAATTATATGCATAGGCTACTCTCCCTCCCCCCCCCCCCAAAAAAAAACTTGAATGAGTCCAAGACCAAAATTAAAATGGTATAAGTCAGTTTAAATTTAGGTCAAAATAGATTCTTTAAACGTCTGTAAAACGTTGGTTAGTTCTTCCCACAGGTCCTCAAAAAAGTTGACAAAAAGTTTTGTTTCATTCCATATAATGGTATTATCAAAGCCCACCATGGTTCTCAGAGAATTTTTTTTCTTCTTTTTTAATTAAATAACATAGTAATTCCTAGCTACAGAAAATCTGACCATTGCCACATTAGATTTTCTTAATGTATATTCCCACCAAAATATTCTTTGCTATTTTTGCAAATAAAAGGCAACTTTAAGCTACCTGAATGCAGCAGTCAGGAACAAAACCAGAGGCTAAGGGCATATGCATATGTAAATTGTCCAGTGTGAATGTATACATAACTGAAAAGATGAATTTTTCATTTACACAGATTATCAGAGAAAATAGAAAAAATATTTGTGATTTATCAATATTCTATAATCTAGAAATGGAGGGCTATTTGCTGAAAGGCATGCTACAGTTCTCCAGGCCAGCACCAAATATTATACCAGTAATCCTCAACTTAAGACCACAATTGAGCCCACAATTTGGGTTGTAAATTGTTGCGGTCATTAAGCAAGATGCCTATGTGACTGTCTTGCTCAATGACCATAATCCCACGCTCCCCACTGTGAGCAGGGGAGGTCCCAGTGCTGGTGCTAATCTCGCAATTTTCCTGAGACTCTTTCTACTTTGGAAACCTCATGAGATGAGCCTCAGTCCTGTCAAAATTTTTGAAGACTGGAAAGAGCCTCAGAAACATCATGAGATGAATACCAAGCCTCTTGATGTTCTGAGGCTCTTTCTAGCTTTGAAAAAAAAATAATTTAAAAAATAGAATTAAAATCACAGGATTAGTACCACTTTATAAAAACTTAGTAGGACCACACCTGGAATACTGCATCCAGTTTTGGTCACCATATTACAAAAAAAGATGTTGAGACTTCGTTAAAAGTGCAGAGAAGAGCAACTATGATGATTAAAAACCTGGAGACTAAAACATATGAAGAATGGTTCCAGGATTTGGGAATGGTCAGTCTAACGAAAAGAAGGACTGGGGTGACATGATAGCAGTATTCCAGTATTTGAGGGGCTGCCACAAAGAAGGGGGGGGGGTCAACTTATTTTCCAAAGTACCACAGAGCAGGACAAAGAAACAATGGATGGAAACTGATCAAGGAGAGAAGCAACTGGAATTAAGGAGAAACTTCTTAACTGAGAACAATTAACAGCTTGCCTTCAGAAGTTGTGGGTGCTTCATTACTGGAGGTTTTTTAAGAAGACACTGGACAGCCACCTGTCTGAAATGGTATAGTGTCTCCTGCTTGAGCAGGGAGCTGGACTAAAAGACCCCAAGGTCTCTTCTCTTCTATTCTAAAACATTGCATTGGCTCGTTTTCTACAGTAGCTGGGCGCACTTGATAGCAACTGCATAGAAAGGAAAGGTAAGTGGATTTGCATGGTGATGCTAAGGGAAGACCAAAGCCTTCTGGAAGTGGTGTGGAGAGGGGAAAGCCCAAGCCTTCTGCTGGAGTAATAGGATAGGAAGAAAGCCCACATAAAAGTAAGCCTAGCCAGTTAAGGCCTCCTGGCCTGCGATGGTGTAGAACCTGTAGCATGCTGGCAGTGCCCAAATCTTTGCACCTGACCACAATGGTTGAAAGTTTAGGTTGTATGTGCCTTTGTTCAGCACTGTCATAATTGTGAATGATTGCTGAATGAACAGTCTTAGGTTGAGGACCCACTGTAGTCACTCAAAGATATTTCCTTCAGTGGAAATAGAGTTGGAGAACTCAATTTTTTGTAGCATTGGTGTTCTCCTAAATTTTTCCAAAACCAACAAGGATAAGTAAATTATGAAATACTGAACAAAAGAAATTCAATTAATTATATCCTGCAGAAATTAATGAATTAAATGGGACACAAGGGATGGCACGCCATGCTCAATTCACAAAGTGGCTACTTTATTTACTCAGAGCCTGAAATCACAAGCCCCAAAACATAAAGTTCTAGAATTGGAGGGGACCACAAGAATCATCTAGTTCAGGCTATCCTAAACTCTGAGGTAGGGAGGGGAGTGCAGACAAGAGTTGAGGATAAGTGTGAAGAATCTTTGAGTTAAGTTATAACAATAAGTCCATCTTTCCCAAAGATTCATTGCATTGTTTACGTTGTTCATTTATTTTCATTTTGGTGTTTGGCTGAAGTTTTAGGGGAATTGTGTACCTTAAGATTACACTAAAGCTGTGGAATTCTGGGAGTTGAAGTCCACATGCCTTAAAATTGTCAAGGTTGAGAAACACTGCACTAAAGGGAGGTGTGATGGCAAAAAGGTTTAGGAATCCCTGAGTTCAACCATGTGCAATGCATGAAAAACCAATTAAACAACTCAAGAGAATTGGTTGTCCAGCCTCATCTTAGAAGTCTTCAGAGATGGAGAACCCATAAACTCCACAATTATAAAAGCTGGTCATAACTGCCTACATTATATCTTAGAAAATATTGCAAATTACGCTAAGTCTTGTGAAGAATGAATAGATAATTATACTGAATTGATTCATCCCCACAAATGTTTTGAAATAAATTTATAGCACTAGGTATACCGATTGCTGCCTTAAGACTCAATAAAGTCATCATACTTTTCTATATTTCAAATATGAACATTCATTGTTTATTTCAGATGTTAGCCAGCAATTTGCTTCTCATGATATTTTTCTTGCTAAGAAAATCCTTCTCCATTTAAACTTTATTTCAGCTCCTCTGAGGATACACAGAATTTTCTTCTGGCAAAAAAATGCAGAATAATTCTGTTCCACCTACTAAATGACTAAACTGGTATGAAAGAGCTAACCTATCATTTATACCCAGAATTTCATATGCAGAGACCCAATTAAGAGTATATTGAAAATAGCAGAACCAGTAGAACAAGAATCATCCTTAAGAAGGCAAAATCACACTACAACTGTTAGTAATGAAATTACGGATTTCAACTGCTGCTCCATCTTGTACTTTCATAGGTACAAAACTGAGAAATGACTTTAAAATGTTGTGGTACTCTGTGATATAGAATAGAAAAGACACATACCTACTAGAAATTATTTCCAAAATTATTCTAGCTTAGAACTGGAGGTTATAAGAGTATGTCTCAGTAGATAGAACTTATTTCCAAGTAAACTATTTATAAGCCTAAAACTATATAGAACCATTCAAGTTAATTCAGTAGCTATGTATAATGTTTAAATGGTTCATACTCAAAAAGTAAAAGCAATGTGCTATATTTATATCCCGCATAATTGGCTCTATACCGGAGCTGCCTAAATGTGGCTCAAAATAATTTAATGCAGCCTACTAAGGACAAAGAAACAGGAGTGACAGGTAAGTTAACCATGACCAAAGCTAGTAACAGATGGGGGAGGGACTCTCACAGCTTAGGTCCAAGCTACTTATAGAACTACTTCTGCACATCCTGTTCAGCAGTTATTTTGGGTCATCAATGGGTTATCCTTCCTATGTCTTGTATGGAACCTTTTAAATCACTACCAATTCATCTTCTTCCATGGTAACACCTATGCCACAGAATCATTTGCAACAGCAATTGAAGCAAGCCCTTCTTGCCACAGTTTCAGGTCCAGATTCTTAAAACTACAATTATTTAGAGCTTGAATATGTATGTGGATGTTTCTTCTGTAAGCCCCACATAGTTGGCAAAACCAAAAAAGAATTGCATGGATTTCAATTGGTAGTTTTAAAATTAGTCTGAGATACAGAATACTGAAAAGCATAGGAGGAATTTCTCAGCCTTAGTTATAATGGATTAAGAGGAGCCTCTTCAAACCATTTTTTTCTGGTCTGAGATGCGTCTTCAGTGATGAAATATTCAGACACATCATTCCCCCACTTCCCACAATCTTTCATACAGAGGGATTGAATATCAGATAGGTTTTCCAAGTAAACAAATGAGAAAATTCAGGTGTGGCTCTTTCATAAGATAATTCTCATACTTGCAGATGGTTGTTCTTTCCTTATGTGTCACTTTGAAACATGTTGACATCTAGAAGTCAATAAATCAAGAAACCAACATAGGTGCATAACCTGAAGACACATGGGACATAGGCAGCCTTAGAACATTCTGGATACTGTTTTTTTAAAATCAAAGTTAATTTTAGCCTGACAGGAAGGAAAATACTAAATATGTGAATAGAGAATAATCCTATTAACTATGCTTAATTTTAATTAAATATACATTTATAGGATATTAAAGCATTTTTGTAGGGACTGAAAGGACTGAGTGTGGAACATGGATGGTAATGAAATGCTGAGCATAAAAGAACCTTGTGCACCCCTGGAATAAGGGGATATACACTTTCTTATATGAGGCAAACTAAAGAACAACATGTCCTGGGAAATCCAGTATTAAAGAATCACAAAGTGGTAAAGAGCCATTAGGCTACAGAGTTAAGCCACTTGTTCAATGCAGAAATGAAAAAAAGAGCTAGTTTGGTACAATGGTTAAGGCAGCAGGCTAGTAACCAGGAAATGGTGAGTTTTAGTCCTCCCTGAGGCAGTCCTTCCTTTGGGCCAGTCACTATCAGCCCAACTCAACTGACAGGTTTGTTGTGTTAAGGAACATATTAGCTATGTTATGTCTTCAGTCGTTTATCAAAATAAAGGCAGGAAAGATAGCATGGGTAGGTAGATCTGAAGCATCCCTATCACAGAACTGCCTAACTGTCACTCAAACGCGCTAAGCAAAGGTTATATCCCTCCATCCTCTCAAGCTTATCTGACTCCAGTGTGAATATAACCAATTCTACTGATGTCCTCTGATGTCTGATTTCCGACAGAAGCAGACTCCAGGCATTTCTCTCGTGGGGCAAATACCACTCCTCCTCTCTGACCTCTTTGGACAGCAGCGAACCGGGGAAGTGTCATATTGCGCGGGGCTTGTTATTTACCCCGCCGCGCTGCTATCCTCCAAGCGAACCATCCGGGAATGCTCTTCAGCTCATCCTACGTGATTCTCCGCAAGCGAGCGAGAAGTTGGCGAAGGTCAAAAGAGACCAGTAGGCGAGGCAGGAGAGGAATTATAAGGCAGCAGGGTCCATTATTTACTCGTTCATAAAATAATTACCGGTCCCATCTCGGGGGTGAGTGGGGGAAGACAGATCTGTCCCTATTTCATTTAATCTTTTCCTACTGAATCATGGCACGCCGGAAGCACCCTCGACCCCCTCTCAAATCCCTGCGCTTATTTTAACAGGTCGGTCATGCACGAACTTTCCATTTGGAAGGGGCTGCGCTGCATGAACGCGACACTCGTGTCACACCGCGTTGAGGGCAGAGCAACCTGACCCGCTCCAACCTAGCTCCCGATTTCCCCCCCGTGCCCCCCCGTAAACTTGACCTCTGCCTCCACTCACCGCCAGCGGTTGATGCCCACCGCGGAGGACGCAGCGAACCAGGGATCCAAGATGTAGATGCAGCGCACGGAGGTCGCTTCTCGGATAGCTGCCTGCAAAGCGGGGTTGTCGTGAAGACGCAACCCCCGTCTGAACCAGTGCACGGAGCAGCAGCCGCCGCCGCTACGCGGCCGAGGTACCGGACCGGGCAAAGCAGCCATCGTAAGCACAGCCACTACCGCACAGGGGGCAATCTAGACTCTCCACATCGCCCGGTGCCTAACTCCCCTCCCTCCTTTCCCAGTGCGGCAATCCACTTCCTGAGCGGCCGCTCTTCCATCAGTGAGCATGCGCAGCACCGCCTCCTCCCTCCAAGAGGTCATTGGCCGCTCATCAAGTACTAACTACGGTATAACTTGGAGGGTTGGCCTCAAGGGACCCGGACTGCAGGGGCGGCGTAGCACGTTTTCGTGCCGTGTATCAGGAGGAGTAGGAAGAAGATGAGGACTGGGTTAAAATGGTGTCACGGGGAGATGGAGATGAAGCCTTTCACTCAGAAACGCCTTTCTTTTTGTTTCTAGAGAGCTATTGGATCAGAATAATCAGAAAAAATCTGGACGGCCACCAGAGGGCAGCGAAAAATTCAATCTTTGTGCACTTTTGACCTGCAGTCTGTCGCACGACCGGATTTTTCTGCAGCCCAAATTTGACCGCTTTGCAACAGAGAAAAACATGGATCCCGGAACGGTTGGAGAGTCAGGCGCCCTCTGGCGTTCCAACGTTGTCGTATGTTTTCTTCTTAAAGGAATGCTTGAAATTATTGAAAATGTGTCCAATAATTATTTTGCTTTGTTTGCTTTAAGTGGAGTTATTTTCAGTCTTCCCCCATAAGTTTCCTGCCTGAAAATATTTTTGGAGTTCCTTGTGTTTATAGACTGTTAAACAATAATTTGTTGAATAAACCACAGCTGGATGAGTTTGTAAGTCATAAATATGCTGTACAAGAAGTCCAATCCAGGTTACATTCTATTCCATTTCCACTGCTTGTATGTAGTAAGAATTTGTGTTTATGACACTGGCACATGCAAATTAAAGATAGTGATCTTGTATCAATCTTCAGCATTTTGTCCTCAAAAGTATATTGTTTATGACATTAAAGTCGTGGTTTCAGATATTACATTGGTAGGCCTGCCTGTCATATATTCATATAATCTTCAAAATGCTATTTATGGCCATCATAACATCCTGTAATCTTACTGTGATCAGTATCTACAAACTGTTCACAAGAAGCCTGAGGAAATGGGTTACTGTGACCTTCCTTGTGCTCAACATATTTGGAAGGTACTGGATTAGGAAACTAAATATAATTCATATCTCAATAAAATGAGTTGTTTACTTCCTGATAAATAAGATTATAATTGGGTTGGAAGAACTAGACCTCATAATAATATGCATATATGAAATGTTACAGGCTGTATTGTTGACAAGGATCCCCTGTCTCCTACTGTGTCTGTTACACTATTTGTGTTTCACTTCCTCCTACAGTTACAGTATTGCTTATAGTCTCTGTTGGGCAAGAGAAATTCTGGAATCTTAATTGGTGTATATGATGCATATATATATATATATATATATATATATATATATATATATATATGAAAAGAAGTTCTTTATGATTCAACCAATTGAATTGAATTCAACCAATTCTGAGAAGTATTTCTTTGATTTATATTTTGTCTTTCCTCCAGGAGCTCGAGGTAATAAATAGAGCATATTTTTCTCCCCCAACAAAATGCTGTAAGGGCTGAGAATGACTGGCCTAAAATCAAACAAGGAGTTTCCACTCCTGAGAATGGTCTAGAATGCGAGTTTCCATATTCTTAGTCTAACAACTTCTAAATCACACTTTAGCATACTCCCTATTAGGCTAACTACTGAGAAGAGTCAAAGGAATCAAAGTCAAAATTCAATTGATTGCACACATTAAATAAAAGAGAGTGGAATAAAGTGAATGGTGGTAACACATCAGACAGGTTCTCTTCAGGACAGTGGGAGGCTTAGGAAACGTCTGGGTGGAGGATCTAGAGACCCATATGAGCCAGAAGCCCTGTTCACTACATCCATGTGTAGTGGGCAATACTGAACAGCATATTCCATTATATATGATATGCATCCCTCCAGTTTAGGGGAGAGTATAGTGACTCAGATTCTCAAATAGTTATCTGGCTAATGTATCCTCTTCTGATTTCTCTGCATTGTACAGGTGTCTGAATAATGTGGACTACTTTATGCAGAGGCTAAGGAACATCTTGCAAGGAAATTGGAGCCAGAGTTGTCTATGCTGCCTGTATGATTTACTAGTTACTGTAGGTTACTTAAGTCTTTCATTTTTTGATGGTCATATTAGCAGCTTTTCTTGCTAACATAATAACAGAGGAAATGAAAAAACAATATTCAAAATAGCATTGCTGGCTGTAGAATTCTGGGAGTTGAAGTCCACATGCCTTAAAATTGTCAAGGTTGAGAAACACTGAACTAGAGACATATTTATAATCAATTCTGTCATTCTTGCAATTCAAACTGATCTGTACATCTATGTGCCAGGTAAACATTTCCCAGTTTTAATGCATAGTGGTCAAATATGTGTTTAAAAGTACAAGAACTGTTCCAAGAAAAAAAAGGGCCATTCCTGACGTCAATAGATGCTTCTAAAATATTGCTGTGAAAATGCAGTTTCTTTCCATATGTGTCATATAAATTTTTAGCATTAGTAACAAGAGCCTAATCTGTAGAATCAGCTTTGGTTTGGTGCTACTGAGAATTTCCTGTGGCCAAGATTACATAATGCCATCTTGTACTTGCCTCCAACTCATTGGTAAGTCAATGATGAAAACGGAACTTTTAAAACTAATTTTTGTTTGTGTGTGTGTGTGTGTGTGTTTCATCTATATCTATAGATATAGATATAGATGAAACAGTGGAAAATGGACCGACCTGTCTTATAGTACGTAGGATTTAACCAGATGAAATTGACAAGTGTTCTTTCCCTTTCCAGCTCAAGTGACAGGAAAAATGTTAAAGCAATGGTGTCCCTCCTTTCCTTCCTTCTGAGTCCAGAAGAGGTAAAGAAGATTGGGAATCCACCAGTTAGGGCTTGTAACAAACATGGACCAGAATGGCATCAGGCCATTCTGTAGATAAAGCAGAGAAAGGAATTAAAATTGACTTCATCTCCTGCTTGCTCAGAGACTCTACAGTAGTCTGTCTCAAGTTGGGAGGGGTGAGCTAAGCGAGATGCCAGCCAAAAATCACTAATATTATCCAGGAGTGGATACTGGCTTGAAAGAATGAGTAGAACAGATAAGGGGCTTACCAACCTCTGGCAATTTCCTGTTAACTAATGGTTTTATTCACTAGTGCAGTCCTGATAGTTAATGGCTTTATTGAAGTGCAGTTAACCTTACACACCCTTGTTTGACTGCTGGCTTCCTGGATGAGGTCCTGACTTAGTTCATAGTTGTTGACTTTATGTGGACTCTTTAAGTTTTATTAACAAGTTGCTATAAAATTGTGTTTGTTCAGTTGATTTCGAAATAACCTTTTTCATTTGGCAAAGTCAATAACAGTAATACATCCTCTTCTTGTAACCCTTCTTTTCACAGCATCTTCAATAACAGCATTGTTCCTTCTGGATAGTCCAAGATGGTATTGAGGGAAGTCAGAGCCCCAGAGAAGGAAATATTAAAAAGGCAGAAAAATATTTTTCCTCAAAAGGACTTTTTAAAAGCAGAAACCAAACCTGGCCCAAATCTCTCTCTGCCCCCAAGCAATAGCTAGCCCTATACAAATGCAAATGTAGAACCATCAGAAAGTTGGAGCCAGAGAACTCAAAGAGAGAAAATCTGCATACCCCACCCAAACTCTAGGAGTCATTAGCCCCATCACCAGGGAAGCAGGATATGACTTTTGGGACATAATAGGACTAACCCATTACCATCAAGTATACCAGAGAGGCACACCTAGGCTCAGGTCAGAATACATGACACAGGAAATAGCCTCAAAGTTCATGCTACAGGAACAGGAAACTTCCAAACAAAAGGCTAGAGAGGGTATAAAAAACCTACGCCCTTGTGCTCTGTCCCTTCTCTCTCCTCTGCTCTTTCCTGCAAGAACCATCTTTCTGCTTCTTCAATAAACTGTAACTATCTTCCCAAAGCAGTCGCCATGTTGCTTATTTATTCCCGGCTTGAATGAACCAGGATGAAGACTTACTTCTGACAGTATATATGCATTATTATTTGCTTTTTAAGTTTAAAGTCATAGAATCATAGAATTATAGTTGAAAGGGGCCACAAGGATCATCTGGATCAGTGTTTCTTAACCTCAGCAATTTTGTGATATGTAGATTTCAACTTCTAGAACTCCCTAGCCAACATAGAACCTCCACGGTTGAGAAACACTGATCTAAACACTCCATCTTCAATGTACAGAAAAACCAGTTAGACCATCCATGGGAGTATAGACTTCAGCCTGTTAAAAGCCTCCAGAGACAGAGAACCCACAATTTCTATAGGCTTAGTTTTCAAGTTAAAGAATTGCATCCAAGCAATGTATTGGATTCACGCATCTTTGTATACTAGAAATCATAGCTGGTTTGATTTATACAATAGTTTGTATTAGAGTATAAAATGCAGTGGTGGGATTCAGCCGGTTCGCACCACTTCGGCATTACCGCTAGCTAATTTTTTGTTGTCCAGGGCCCAGAATGGACTTCCGGCAAGCGGCATCCACACAGAGAACCGGTTGTTCACATATTTGAATTCCACCACTGATAAAATATAATAATATAATACAATGGCTTGGTTCACACAGCATGCTTAATCAAAATCAAACTAAGCTACAACAGGGCTTAATGTAAGATAAAAACCCAGTCACTTGATATTATTTGAAACAAATTCAGGAAGCTTGTAATGAAAATATTGAACAGGTAGAGATAGTTCTAACTGCTATTTGATTATGAAAGAAATCATAATGAACTACTACAACTCACAGAATGCACAGCTGATTGAATTCTGGGAGTTGCAGTCTACATTCATTTAAAGGCATCTGGCTGTATCAGGCTGATAACACATTTTCCAGAGAAAGATCGCTTATGTTAAATAGGTTTTCTTTCTAAAGTATAGATAAAATTATACTGGGCAGATCCCAAAATTAAATAGATTTTAAACATTTTGGGGTGTCTATTTCATGGATTTTAATCACTCAGAGCTACCAATAATTACAAGAAAATATGTTGCTGCCATAATTCAGCACATAGAGTTGAACAACAGAGAACAGAAATCTGATTAATTGCTCTCTAACTAGGTATTGCTACTGGTAGTAGGAAGGCATCATTTGTCATGAAGAGGTGATTTAGGCGGTGAATTTCATTCCTGTTTTCTGGTTAAAAATACTCCTGCATTTTTTGTGGATTTAAATATGGCAAGGTAAGGCCTTAGTTTTTTTTAAAAAAAGTATGATATGCATGCCTCTGGCCTCCCCTATCCTTGCCTAATTGTCACTTTTCTTATGCAGCCTAGAACATCTGATCTGACACTACAGACCAAGCCACCTGGCTGTGCAGAAATTAGCAGTCCCACTTTCGGTAACCATTAGGCCAAAAACATGAAGAACACATGCACTTAATTAGGAGGATGAACAATTGCAGCAGCATATTATATGAGCTTTTAGAAATCTGCTTATGGAGAGCTTTTACCATAGGCCTGGTGGAGAAAGGTGCTGTATGACAGCTGGAATAAAATAAAAACATCTGTAATGACTGTGATGAGAGATTCATAGTAGCCACAGGATATGAGATTCTGCCCAGTATTTACACTCTTCTATTGTTGACATGCCTTGTTATATTGCCATGCCTGTAAATATTGCCTGTGTTAGACTTTGTGGTTACACATATTCTTTTGCTTTGCCCCAATAAATCATTTCAGCTTCAATTATGTCTTCATGGCATTCAAGCTCACAAGCCTCCTGCCTGCATTTTACAGTGGCAAGACAATTGCAGTTTGTTCCTGTACGCATCTGGTTTGCTTGGGACCAATGCAAGGCTCTTAATAGGAAAGTGAGATTTTATATGCTTGTGTTTTTTTTTCTGACTCAGCTTTGAAAGAATTACTATCTTGCTCCTTTATGTTTCATCTTGCTGATTTTATTTGTATACATTTTTATCTCAAAGAAAATAAAAACATTCAAAAGCAGTTAATGTTTGGTTAAATCAATAATTTAGGATTGATTTATATAGAACAAACACGTGTGGCAACTTAGCCTCTTCAATTAATTTGGGTTAGGAAGTGCATGTTTTCCCACTATATTGCACAATGAACAGGTTCATATTAGGTGGCAATAATCCATGGTCTGATACCAACTGACCTTAGAAGACCTAGAAAACACCTCAAGAAATTGTGGGCAGATGATGTAATCCAGGGGTGTCAAACTCGATTTCATTGAGGGCCGCATCAGGGTTGTGGTTGACCTTGGGGGGCGGGGGAGCGTGGCCAGGGTGGGTGTGGCCACTTCAATGTTGCTCGTGGCAGGGGGCACCTGTGGTGACCCGGGTGAGGCTGGGGGGGATCCATTGTCTCCAGCCGAGGAAGGCGAGACCAGGTGAGCACTATACCCTTGTCCACCAGAGAAGCCTTACTGTCCCTCTCAGGCCATGCAGAGGACCCCCCAGTGATGCAGGCTGCCCAGACCCCTGGGCAGTGGAGGACAAGCGCCCAGTCCAGTTTTTCCCAAGGGGGCGCTCAGTTGCACTTACCTCCTCAAGGCTGTTGCTGCTTGGCTCACTCTCCTTGGCCAAGTTGCTCATGGTGTGTGCAGGAGGGCAAAATGTGTGGGTCAGAGGGAGGCTCACTCCCTCTCCCTGCGAGGAGACCCGGCTTTGTAACCAAAGCATCCTCAGCAATAGGATGGGAGACCACCAGGAGAGTCAGGAGGGGACAAGGGGATGACAAAAGGGCAGCAAGGCTACTCGTGGTCAAGTGTTAAGGCAGAACTTCCCTTAGACCCTTCTTCCCCCTCTTTACAATCTTCCTTCCTTTTCCCCCTTTTCTTCTTTTTCCTTCCCTCTTCATCTCCTTTCCTTCTTCCTTCCCCTCTTTCCTTCTTTTTATTTGTCTTTCCTCTTTTTCTTTCTCCTTTCCTGTCCCTTCTTGGATGCTCAAAGGCAAAAGGGGAGACATTTCTCGATGCCTCCTTGATGTGTGATCAAATGCCAATTTTGCTAGTAGTCTGTGGCCATTTAAAAGATGGAGAACAAACCAGGCTCAGTTTATCCCATGCTTGCATTTAGTGGGGGTGTCCACAGACAACAATATAGCAAAACTGTCAAAATGTTGGCTGACATAGTTGATCAGAGCTCCTCTGTTTTTTATGTGCAACAGCTTTAGGATTTAGGAACAGAGGTAAGTTAGTTGCTTTTCTATTAATACATAATCCTTAAAAGAGCTCTCCTGTAGGGACCCTACCATGGAAATATAGCAAAAGAAAATATTTTCCCCACTCTACTTTGTCCTGGAAATGTTTGCAACACACAAAGAGGGGATACTTTCCTAAGAGTTCACAATTCAAGAATACCAACCTTAACTTGAATTGCCAATAAAGTCCTATCTGTGACAAAAGAGAACACAAACTTGCTTTCTCCTTTGAGCCCAAGTCTTAATGGATCCAGGATTGAAGCAGAACTGCTTGAACTGGGGCATTTCCAACCAAGTTGCCCCTTCCTTCCTTCCTTCCTTCCTTCCTTCCTTCCTTCCTTCCTTCCTTCCTTCCTTCCTTCCTTCCTTCCTTCCTTCCTTCCTTCCTTCCTTCCTCCTTCCCTCCCTCCCCAAAAACATACATTTACTTCTGGGTTCCAGCAATTGATGCAATGGGTTTGCTTAATTACTGCTTCAGAAAGATCATAAAATTAGGTGTGGTCAATTGGTGACCCACTTTATGATCTGCACAACTCGTGGCCATTATTAAGTTGAGGACTACCTGTATTTATGTTTGCCTTTGTGTTTATCCAATCCATCATAGGTTAAAGAAATAAAGTTTTGTTGAATCAAACTGAATGGCCATTAAGCCCAGAGTCTTTGTAGCACAGCGGCTAACTTGATGCATCCAGGAAAATTATAAGCAGGCTATTAGGACAATAACTTTTTACTACTTCTCCTTCAGGGTTGGTTTTAAAGTATTTTACCTGTGAGGCAATATATTATCAGTACCTTTTGCTCCACTTCCCTATCATTTCTACGGTTGCAAACAAAACAAAGAGCCATTCTGAAAATAACAAATCAACATTTTATTAAACACATTTATCAGTTGCAGATCTACAATGGGGATCTACATTTCCCAACACAAAATTAGGAAAGTGAGAACAAGGTAAGGACACTAGCAAAGGTCAAAGGCAAATGGAATTATACATTCCAATGAAGTTTGGCTCCTGAAGCCAAGAGGGCCCTCTCAGGAATGAGAATGCATATCAAAAACGAATGCACTCACCCAATGAAATGAGCTTTAAGAGCAAGGACATGCCAAATACTTTAACTTTGTAAGAGTCCATTAATAATCGCTGACATCTGTTTCTTCAACAGTGGTGGGAAAAAAGAGTTGATTACCTAAAGACATTCAAGATCTGGAAGAATGCTCTTTCAAAGCTCTTTTTCTATTTTCTTTAGTTCGGTTCCCCCCCCCCCCCCCCCGGTTAGGCTGTCTAGAGCAGTGTTTCCCAAACTTGACAATTTTAAGGCATGTGGACTTCAACTCCCAGAATTCCGGGAGTTGAAGTCCTCATGCCTTAAAATTGTCAAGCTTGGGAAACACTGGTCTAGAGGAATAATAAATGTGCTGAGAAGCACTGGCAGAAAAATGCTTGAGAATCCTGGCATTGGGATTACCTTTTTGCCAGGCAAGTTGCAAACCTGTATTCCTTGCAACTTGTTTGCCCCACAAGGGCAACAGAACCAGCAACTAAGAGAACTGTTCTCCTGCCTCTCCAGGAAACGCACTAGACTGCTGAGTGTGATGTGTGAGGAGACAAAGAGAAACTTATATCAACAGAAAACACACATAACTTCAAGCAAGTAGAGAAAGGACCTACCTAGTCCTACTTGTTTAGTTTTTAACAGTACACCCTCACCTTTACTAAAGACAAGGCGTTTGCAAAAGAAAATCACTTGTAAAAATTTATCCTTTCCCTTTCCAGTGATTATTATAGCAAATATGCAGTACATTGGAAACCTTGGCGTATCTTCTATTTTCTACAGGGTAATCACAGGCTACACTTGCCTGGAAACATTAAGCTGTCTCTTGCTAGTTAAACTTCATTTTATTCCTTCAGTGAATTCAGACCAGATTGTCATTTTTGTCATTTGCTTTTGGAAGAGGTTCTACCTGTACCTTCTTCATCTCCAACCCTTTTACCCAGGTATATGCAAAAGAGCCCACTAGAACCATCATGTTACTAGCCCACCATAAAAAGCTCTTGATCTGTTCATAATAGCAGACAGCTAACACTGTCTGGGCACAGGCTTTGGCGGTCCCAGAAACATTGTGTGTAAGGGGGCTGGTATACTTGATCTGAAGTCCAGTCACATAGCCGATAGCAAAGCCAAATATCCCACTTAGAGTCATCATGCCCCAGAAATGGATGCTCCCTAATTTATCAAAGTGGTATAGCGTGAAGAACTCACTTGTGAGCAACAGAAGGGGCAAAAACAAGACACAAGCATTGATATTGTTATAGAAAGTCAGACGCCAGATGCTGCCATCCACAGCAGGCAGAACTTTTTTAGTGTAAATAGCGTTCAGTGAGACACAGAGGCTGGCAAGTATCCCATAAATGATGCCTGCCCAGGACAGAGTGCCTTCTGCTCCCTCTTGATCTATCCCAAGCCAGAAGCCACCTGCAATGTAAAAGAGATGGAAAATATACTGATTGGACTACAACAAGCAGGAGGCAAGCCTCATACCTATGTAAAATAAACAATTTGGAAACTCTTACAACTTCAGATATAATAGACCAATGTTTTTCAACCTCGGCTACTTGAACAGGTGTGGATTCAGCTCCCAGAATTTCCCAACTAGGTACTCCAATACTCTTGGTAGATTAAAAAAAAAAACCCAGTTTAGCCTACAATCTGGAATTTCCCAATATCTCCCATCTAAATATTAATCAGCATCTGAGCTGAAATCACTTGCTGAGACTGAATCACTATTCAGTAAGAACCCTCACTCCATAATCATCTGTCAAAGAGTGCCTGTTAAGTTTTAAAACTTGTTACTATAAGCATAATAGCTGTATCTTTACAAAAGTGAAGGTTTATATTCTCCAGCATAAGTCACTAGATCAGGGGTGTCAAACTCGCAACATCATGTGACATGTTGTGACTTATCACAACTTTTTTTACATTGCTGGCAATGGGGTGGGCGTAGTTTCACCATGACGCATCTGGCCTGCCAGCCAGCAGTTTGACATCCTGCACTAGATTGTATATTAATAGTTCGCAACTAAAAATAAAAGTTAGCAGAACAGAATAAATTCTATCAAGTTCTCTTCCACCTAATTTTAATGACCAAGAAATGTCACATTAGTTTAATTCCAAGCATTATTGAGCAAGAAAGATTTACCAGACTATCTGACTCTGTTTTTGTCCTGCAAATTGGGAACACAAACTCCCTCTTTTATTATGGCCACATATCAAAGGTGTAGCCTTGCCCTTTCCATATATTTAACTAACAAGCATCACCATTCTCCTACACTCACAATCAGCAGTGGAGATCTGAACTGTATGCTTATTGCATCAACAGGAAACAAGACCTTTTCAGGATACATTACTGCATATACTTCCTTATCACTTTTAAGATTCTATAAGATTGCCCTGTTCTTTTTAGAGCTACTCTGAATGTGTCTCTTAATTTCCAAAGGATGCTAAGATGCTCTTAAGTGGGCATTCTAGAATAGGTTTTGTCAAACTTTAGACATGAAGGATTGTGAGGAATTGAGGAAGAGTTATTAAATAAAAAATGGTAATGCAGAAAGCCCAATCTCTTATTTACTGACTGCCATGAGTTGTACACCATGATAACCAATGAAAAATTGAAATCCTGCAAGCAAACCATTCAAGGTTCTTCTGACCCACAGTGCATTTGACACTTGTTTTCTTGGGTAAATCTCACTGAATTCTGATGGACTTATTCCCCAGTAAATAAGACTTAGCACATAATAGATATAATAGATGGTGCACAATGTCAACTTCCATCATTCCCAAGCAGCGGTGAGGCTGGTTGAGAATAATGGGAGATAAAGCCACATGCTGGGAAAAGTGGCAACCATTGGATTGCTTTGTTGGGGCCATTGGGAGGACTCCACTCACCAATGATAATTCCACATGAAAGAAGGGCGTACAAGGATGTGGTTTGCTTCAGAAGCAAGTAAGAGAGGAGCACGTTGAACACGGTGGTGAGGGAGCGGCCCACGTTGTAGAAGGCCACTCCAACAAACTTGAGGCACAGGTTGTTGAAGGTGATCATGCCAATGAAGACAAGGGAAAGGGGTAGGACGCTGCGGGAGACCTTGAGGTCCATGCGGATGGAGGGAAAGTTCACAAAGCCTGGCGGGCAGCAGGAGGCCAGCAGGCTGAGCAGTTTGCAGATGACCACGGTGACAAGGCACTGGTAGAAAGTGACGAAGAGCGGCGCATCCAGGCGCAGCGAAGGGCTGCCCAGCAAATACTTGTTGAGGAAGACCATTGTGATAGAAATGAACCAGTATAGACAGACCACTACGGCGATCTGGAGGGCCCGCAAGAGAAACGGCGGCTCCTTGCTGCTGTTGCCCTCGCCATCTTCCTCTTCCTCCTCCTCCTCTTGCTGCTGCTGCTGGAGCAGCGGCTCCGACGCACCGCCAAGGGCCATTTTCAGGATCGTCGAGCGCTTTAGCTGGACCCGGTTCATGTTGCTCAGCCTCTGCCTGAGCCCTGCTCCCCACCGAGAGGGAGCAGAGGACTGCAAAGCGCTAAGGCATTTCAGGTCGTTCCCGAGGATGGTCACGTCCGGTGCAGTCCCGGATTTAGGCCTCCTCCGAAGTTGCCCGGACAAACGCGGCCGTTCGCTTCCTCTTCCCTTTGCCCTCCTCGCCGCGGCACATCCCAGCTGCTGCTCCGCTTGCGCAGATAAGGCGAGCCCTTCCACGCTTAAAGGGGCCGCGGTTGACGATTGCCGGAAACCGCTGCGCCCGCTTAACCCTGTGCTTGCTGAGGCAATTCCTCGCTTCTGGGTTCCTCGCCCTGGTTGGCGATCAAAACCTGGGAATCAGGTGAAACGCCCATCCAGAGCGCTGGAATCAACCGCTTGCTTGCGTGCCTGCGCGCTTTTGTCCTGAGCAGCGTTGCGGTGAGGATTGCGGCCACTTGCCACGTTGCAGTGCCAGCAAGCGATCAACCCCCTTGGTTTTCGGGCCCGTTTCTCTCTGGGATGCTCTTTGGGCCCCGCTTGGGCAATGGGAGTATCCGGGAGTATATCCGGGAGCAGCAGCAGGGGAAGTGCCCTCCCTTTTTTTAAATACTTAGGAGCAAGAGTTGATAGGACAAATCCAGTGCAACCGGAGGGCACCAGGTTCATGAAGGCAGGACTTGGCGGTTCAACAGTAGCCTGACCAAAGAAGGCTTCCAAGTTTATTATCTATTTGCACTTTGCCTATATTGCTTATGGCCGAAGTCACGCTATTGGTTATCTGTTAGGATGTCTGGGTATCCTAACGAAACAGCTGTTCCCACCACATTGTCATTTTTTCACATCCTTTTGATCACCTGCCTTCTGTTCTCCTTTGATTGACAAACCCAGTCCTCTGCCTATGAGCAGATCTCTTGCTCCAGCTTGTCTTAATTCATCTTTAGCCAGCAGCTGATGCAATATCTGCCCATGTTTTTTCTCTTTTGAGACCTTTGCTTCCCTGCTTTTGCCTATAAATAGAAGATAAAAGAGGAAACAAGGAAGCAGGTGGTGTATTGAGAATGAATTGCTGGACTCTTGAGTTCCAGCTGTTCATTCTCCTTTTCTCAACTTCAGGGTCACCCTCAACCAGGAGATGGATTGCAAATAAATTTAAGCATAACCACAATCATAATCATACTACTAATAATCACAATCATACTAATAATAATCATACTACTACTACTAAAATATATAATAATAATAATAATAATAATAATAATAATAATAATAATAATAATAATAATAATAATTCTGGGCAGCTCTTTGAACATCTGAAGTTGTGGCCTGCATCATCTAGCTTACTTATCTTGCCCCTGGGGGGCACTCCCACCACTAAAGCATGCCACAAAGTTTACCGATGTATCCTTTCCCTTCAGCGGTGAACAAGGCCTGCTCTTTTCAGCTAGCCAGGATCAAATAGTCACACTGCACACATTCCCAAAAGGAAAAGCAGCCCCTGATGCCACAGAACAGTCACTATACAAGGCCAGGAGGGAGCAATGCGTGCCCTGGGCCATGGACAGAGTGAGAGCACCTCAGCCTCCTTCCCCCCCCCCCCCCCGCTGGCAACAGAAAAAGTTGGGCATTTTTCTAATTAGAGGCAGAGAAACAGGAGCATGCCATTTCCTTGCAAATAAAAGTAATTCCAAGAAGAAGGAAAGTCTAGAAAAGAAAGCAGAGTGTTTTATTTCTATAGAAGTAGGTAAATATATGTCATTCAGATTTTGTATTAGAGTCCTGACTTATGCTTTTGCTTTATTGTGAAATCCAAATGTTTGTTATTGCTCTGTAAAATGTATGAATTGGGTGTTCAGCTTGCAGCATTATTTCCTCTTACCTGAATACCAAAAGGTGTTCATTTTTTTAGAATCTTCTTTGCTGTAGAATATTCTAGTGATCTGTAATATTTGATTAGGACTCAATTTAAGATCCTAGATTCAAAAGCTGAAGAACCTGACCAGACAGCCTCAGGAACCAGGTGAAGTCACTCTATCTCGGCCTAACTGTCCTCACAGGATTGTTGTTGTGGGGAAAGTAGAATGAGAAAGGTGTGTTAGATATATTCACCCCCTTGGTTTAATTGTAAAAGTAATAAAGGCGGGATACAAACAAACAAATAAATAGCACACCTGAAGAGATACGGGTGCAGCCAGAGCTAGGTAAGGTCCTGAGCCCAGCATCACATTGCAAATTATAAAGAGAAGATCAAAGGTCCTCAACTCATCTGTCTAAAAAAAGAAGTGTGACTCAATCAATTAGTCAAGCTGGGAGTTTGGGCTGCACTGTATAAAAATGGTGTGCGTTGTAACTGGTTCGTTGTAGCAAGCAACATTTTAATTGTATGATGTCAGAATGCCCAGATTATTTTGAACTGGAAATTAGATCTTAGATCTTCCTAAACCTGGGAATTGTTTCTTCAGACTCTTTTGCAAGAGTAAAATCTTACTTTTTTTTTAACAGACAAAGCTTTGAATTTACACTTACACACACACTTACACACACATAACATACACAGATGGTAATAACCACAATCATATTGTGGTCTATACACTATATTTTTCTTTTGGAATTTTTTTTATGAAAATCTAAATTATTAAGTTTTTTTTCTCATGAACTGGGTAGCACCAAAGATATCCTTTTCAACAACACAATTTTATATTTAAAGTTAAAAGTTTCAGACTATTTTAAAAAAGAACAGTACATCTTTATTTTATTTGAATACTTTCAGATTGGCCTATCCTCAAGAAGGATACATCTGCCAAGTATTTTATTCCTGTGCCAACCATCATAGCTAAAAGCTTGCAGAAAACTAAAGAAGAGAAGTTTTATATTGTTTCTGGTTGTTTTTGCATCTGTAAAGGTGCTTGATCTTTGCCAAAAGAAAAGCCAAAGATAAAAGAATGGTTAAGACTATTCTCCATTTTTTTGCGTACCTTGTTATTTTACTATACTGTAGGTCCAAGAATGAGTACAGTAATGAGAACCAGGGCTCAGTATAATATAGTGGTCCAGATATTTACTGCCAGGCTTATATAATTCTGTTGAGTATAAAATTGAAATCTTAATAACTGACTGATTAGTATCCATTTCTTCTCTTGACCGTCTTGATCTATATAACTCAGGACTGGGCAAACTTTATGGTATACACAATGCTAACAGACAGTTGCCAGGAGTTAAAGACTTACTTGAAGGCGCAACATCAGCCCCCTCAAAAAGCAAGTAAGCAAACATACTCTGCGCTCTTCACTAGACTTAAAAACAAAAGACAGTATAGGATGAACACTAGTCAGAAAGGCCAAGTCACAGTGCAGATATAAAAATGGCTAGTATTCTAGATTTTTCTCCAAAATGATTAGAAAAGCAACAGCCACTTATATAGGTTGCCAAATAATGGAAATTGGGAGAAAGATTATCAATTGGCATCTACCTGGCAATTAGCCATTGACTGTGGAGATTCTGCTCCACTGAACACAGGAAGTGTATGAGGATGTGGCACTGCTTGCCAAATTCCATTTTAAATCTGCTTGGAAGAACTTCAGCATGGCTTGTAAAAGTGTGGGCGCATATTCACTGTCTCACTTGGTATTACTTAGAATTCATTAAATCAAAAAAAATAACAGTTGTGAACCCTATAGTTTGTGATTTGACAAGCAACACTTGACTGTTCAGAATCTACATCAGAAATGGAAATATGTATGGAATGATTTTATCCATTTTTAAAATCTGTTCTCTTAAGAAATATTAAGCTGTTGTAATGGAATTTGAAGAATTCATTCGAGAAAAAACCAGGGAAGTATCTGGATGCCCCCTGCTGGTAGGCAACCTGTATATCTATTGTAATTGCTTTAAAATATATTAAACTAATGGTCGCTGTACCTTATGTCAAATGTCAGACCTAGAACTTCAGCAAGGATTACAAAAAACTTGTAAACATTTTGGAAAAAGAGGGGATGCTCTAATTGACGTGTGGTATGTGGAACTGAAAGGACTAACCGTACTTTGGTGCCAGGCAAAATCCTTTTTGTTTTTCTTAACTTCTTTTTGAAAAAAAAACTGAGCATGTTTTTAAACAGCTTGGTGTTTGTTTTTAATTCCACAGATTGCTTTTTTTTTTAAATGTAGTGTCTGACTGTTTTTAAATAATGTTATAAGTTACCCTGGAAACCTGTTGTAGGCTGTAAAGCATATGCGCCTACAATGGTGTCCAAAGAAACTGTTTTGCAGTATGCCAGGTATGATGTCTTATTTGTGGAGTTGGGTCTGGTGATAAGCTGGGATCCTGTTGTTTTCTATTAGTCCTCTGTTGCATGCTGGCTGCTTGATGTCATTGATAGATTGGTGATTTCAAAGCTGAAGTTTCAGTCTGGTCTTCAAGAGAAACAGCATGGATAATAAAATGCAGACGTTATCCATGAGAATTACCAATGCAGTTTTGATCCCATATTCAGGTTTGAATATGCCACAGTTGCCACAGGTCAGAGCCCCAGTTTCCACCAGAGGTTTCTGGGATGACAGACATCTTGAAGATAAAATTGCTGAGATCTGCTTGGAGCTGGATGCCACCTGGACAGATAAAGTAACCAAGACCACATCTTGCTACATTATCTGGGATGACAAGGTTTTCTGTGACATCAGCTCAGAAGTCCAGATCCCTGCCTTTCCTGATTTGTGAAAGCTCTTAGGAGATAACATGAAGCCAGGTTGAATGAGAGAAGATCATTATATCTGCCTCGAAAGAAGCAATGGAATGTCCTCTCTTCAAGAAACCATTCACAGTTTCTTGAGGTAGGTTGTTCCACTGATTAATTGTTCTAACTGTCAGGAAGTTTCTCCTTAGTTCTAGGTTGCTTCTTTGGTTAGTTTCCATCTGTTGCTTCTTGTCCTGCCTTCAGGTGCTTTGGAGAATAGCTTGACTTCCACTTCTTTGTGGTAGCCCCTGAGATATTGGAACACTGCTATCATGTCTCCCCTCATCCTTCTCTTCATTAAACTAGACATATCCAATTCCAGCAACTGTTCCTTATATGTTTTAGCCTCCAGTTCCCTAATCGTCTTTGTTGTTCTTCTCTGTACTCTTTCTAGAGTCTCAATATCTTTTTTACATCGCGGTGACCAAAACTGGATGCAGTATTCCAAGTGTGGCCTTACCAAGGCATTGTAAAGTATTAACACTTCATGTGATCTTGATTCTATCCCTCTGTTGATGCAGCCTAGCACCATGTTGGCTTTTTTGGCAGTTGCAGCACACTGCTGGCTCATATTTAAGTCATTGTCCACTAGGACTCCGAGATCCCTGTCACAGTTACTACTATTGAGCAAGGTACTTCCTAAACTATACTTGTGCTTTTGGTTTTTCTTGCCTAAATGTAGAATTTTACTTTTTTCACCATTGAATTTCATTTTGTTAGATAGTGATTGAGACATTTTTGGATAATTGGAACATTTCAGTATGGGTTCACAGATGGGTTCATACTAGTCATGCTTGGAGATGACCTATGGCAAATTGGGAATATGAGAGATACAATCT